ATCGAGTCCTCGGTGGGCTCGTCGGTACCTGATGGAGCGTGGCGGGAACCGTCACCGCCACCATTCCATGATCCTTGGAATAATTCGGATTGACTCTTGAGTTGCATGTTGGATAAAGATGAGGTTGTGCGTGCTTTGAATGTGAGTTCTCATTGGGTTGTCTTGCTTGGTGCTGTGCATGTTGTCTCCATGTGTCCGCCGCTCTCTGTGATAACTTTGAGCAGCTTGTCGGGTTGAAATGTTCAATAGTACGGTGCAGGGTGCAGCAGGATGGATCCTACCTCGCTATTTTGACTATGACATCGTCAATGGACCAGCAGGAACGAGTGTGGAATGGATTCGAATCTATGTGCCGGGTCAGTGGCATCCAGTAGCCCCTGACACCCTGGGACCGGCCCCGGATGACCCGACCGCCTATCGGGAATGGCGCAAGGTCTACCACTTCGAAGTGTACTGGCCCAGGGAAAGCACTGGCGGCACAACTATAGGCACGGCTCTGCAACCGGTATCCCACGCCACTTTCTACACTTGGTATTACAGGGACTGGGTCACCAGAGGGTACCAACGCCTGGGTCGTCCACATCCCAGCATAGCGAGGCCAGTTTTCGCTTCGGGTGCGCCGGACCTCATGTGTGCTGGAATGACCTCCTCTTCGGCATCATCCAATTCACATGATAGCTGATGCCCGTCCTCGCCTCCCTGGAGAGTCTGACTGTGATGTTGGCGCCGCACAGTGCTACAAAAGTGGTCTTTTGCGTTTTGATTGTTGATTTGCTTTCACTCGTTGTTGTCTGCAGCCGTACACCTATCAACTTGACTTTCCGTGGTTGCGTTGTCATGCCGTGGCTGGAATGGTGCCCGGACCCTCAACAACCTGATGCCCAGTGGGTCAAGATCTTTCATCCGGGACCATGGACGCCTCAGGAAGAACAGGATGCTCCACCTCCTCCGCATACTTTCAGAGAATGGCGGGAGTTCTATGCTCCCAACCAGGACTCAGTTGAAGGGCAAGTCCAAGTCACTACGTGGTACAAGCGAGACTGGGCCACGGAGGGCTATCGGAGAATCGCTGCTCCTCACGCCGGTCATGAATTTGATTCCATGTATCCCTCCGATCACCATAACGTGGCCACGCAGTCTGCGTCGTTGAGTATGTCGCCGGAGCTGTTAGACGCGATTCTCAGGTCCTCGGATGCGGCTGATTTCTCCACTGAGGAACTGATTCGTCTCCAGGAGGGGATTTCTCAACAACTGACGGCCCGCGCACGTCTGACCTCTCATCCTCATCAACCAGTACGTGCATCGCGTGGCAACACACCATCGGAGACGATTGGGGTCTCCGACCCCTACACGCCCGTGAATCCGTCCGGTAGCGGCCAAGACAAGATGAGGCCCGTCTTCGAGCTCACTGAAGACTAGCCTTGCATGAGCAGCGCAGCGTACAAAATAAGGGTGACCTCTACACTTGCATGATCTTGCTTTGCTGTTGTTTGAACATGGTTGTGCATGGTGCTTGTCCACCTACTAGCTGGATCGGAGCCCGCGACCATCCTTGCCTCTTGCCTCGACATGGACATCGATGATTCCAAGCAGTATCCATGGCTCGAATATTCGGTCTGGCATGATCAGGAGTGGGTGCGGATTTACACTCCGGGACAACCTCAACGATGGCACCGTGGTGACGCCGTACCTGATCTACCTGAAAACTCTTTTCGTGAATGGCAGCGGGTGACGGATCCCGAAGCGCCAGTCCAGGCATGGGACATCCGTGACTGGCAACACCAAGGGTACCAGCGCATTCTGTCTCGGATTGAGTCCTTCGCAACTCACTGTTCACATGATCAGACTCTTGGTCAAGGTCGGAACTCCGATGCCGTTCAAGTTGAGGAGACCTTCACCTATGCCACTCCGTTTTCTCATGGTGATCGCCCGGCTGCTTCGCAGATCGCTTCAGTCCTCTATGGCGACACTCGTAATGCTCAACGTTGTGAACTTTCGTTCCCGTCTTCTGAGCGGTTTAGGGCAGTGTCTCGCTCCCCTCGCCGTGGTGGATATTTTGGCCAACGATAGTGATTTGAGTTTGAGCATGTGATCTTCCTGCAGGAGAAAAGAGAAACCTCGCCCCTCGTAGAGGGGCGTGTGTGTGCGGAGTGACAGAATGCCCTGTCACCACCCTTTCGGTTTCGCAGCAGGGGCGTGCAGCACCTTTGGCATACTGCACGCAATGAAGCTGTTGCCAAAGGTGGGAAGGGTGTCCAGACGTGGACACCTGTACCTGCTTCAGTGATTCTGAAAGTCCTTTTGGCCCCTTGGTTGCGGCGCTGTTTGTGCTTCTTGTTCTTGCTCGTAACGTGTTCGACACTAGAGGGAAGCCAAGTGCATTGAGAGCCGAAACTCATCATACTCGAGACTTGTCGGTTGTACTCGAGACTCATCAGTTGTACTCGAAAGATTAGCACTCTCCATCTGGAGTTCAAGTGTGTGTTGTGTGTGTGTGTTGTGTGTGTGTGTGTTGTGTGTGTGTGTGTTGTGTTGTGTTGTGTTGTGTTGTGTTGTGTTGTGTTGTGTTGTGTTGTGTTGTGTTGTGTTGTGTTGTGTTGTGTTGTGTTGTGTTGTGTTGTGTTGTGTGTTGTGTTGTGTTGTGTTGTGTTGTGTTGTGTTGTGTTGTGTTGTGTTGTGTTGTGTTGTGTTGTGTTGTGTTGTGTGTGCGTGTGCGTGTGGGTTTGTGTGTGTGTGTGTGTGCGTGCGTGCGTGAGTGAGAGTGAGTGAATGAGAGGGAGGGACTGAGTGAGTGAGTGAGTGAGTGAGTGAGTGAGTGAGTGAGTGAGTGAGTGAGTGAGTGAGTGAGTGAGTGAGTGAGTGATTGAGTGGGTGGGTGCGTGAGTGAGTGAGTGAGTGAGTGGGCGGCGGGGTTGGAGCCCGGGTCTTATAGGCCTTGTGACTGAAAGCTAGCAAATGGGAAAAGCAAACGATCTTGAAAGCAAACAGACATGTGGCATACTCGCCTCTACGCTCCCGAGCGTCAGATAGCAGCAACGCTGTCCAAAGTGCCACGCCTGCCACTTTTTTCGCGCGCCCCGAGCTGTGCGCAAGACAACGTCCTGTCTTTTTAGACAGCTGCCACACGCTGCCCCGGCCAGACAAACAACATTGAATGAGTGACTGAGTGAATGAGTGGGTGAGTGAGTGTGAGTGAGTGAGTGGGTGAGTGACTGAGTGAATGAGTAAGTGGGCACACAAAGGCACGCACAGATGCACAGACTGCTGCGCCTGCCACGGCTTCGGCCAGGACTTCGGCGATGGCATCTCCAAAGCGCTGCGCCTGCCACGATTTGGGCAAGGGCATCTCCAAAGTGCTACGAGCCGCGCGCGTGACAACATCCTGTCCCTGTAGACAGCTGCCAAACGCTGCCCCTGCCACAGAATGCTGCGCCTGTGACGATTTCGGCAATGGCATCTCCAAAGCGCTACGCCTGCCACGATTTGGGCAGTGGCATCTCCAAAGTTCTACGCCTGCCACGATTTCGCGTGCCCCAAGCCGCGATGGCAGTGTCTGCGCAAGCTGCATTGTTCCAGGCTGCTGCGCGCAAGTTGCTCTCTGCAAGCTGCTGCGCGCAAGTGGCTTGACATCTGTCTTCAAGCTGTTCTGCGCACGTTGTGCAAGTTTCTCTCCGCAAGACGCTCGGCGCTTGTATCTGTGCGCAAGATGCTCAGCCTGAGCTGAGCTGTGGAGGCGTTCTTTGCTTGAGCCGGGGGAATCGAACCCGCGACCGCACGATTGCGAAAGCAGGCGCGCAAACCACAAGACAACTTCCCAAAGGCCATTTCGCGAGTAACAAAGAATCGCACGGCGCCACAGCGAGAGCGCTTCGACACGCACGATCTCCGAAGAGGGTACGCCGAGACAAAAACGAATTCGCACGGCGCCACAGCGAGAGCGCGTCACGATCTCCGCAGAGGGTTCCGATCCCAGGGGGTCGCACGGGCAGACAGAAATCGCAAAAAACCTCGAGCTTTTGTACCTCGACCACGCCGATCCCCGCAGAGGGTCGCGCGGGGATCAGAAATCGCAAAAATCCTCGAGTTTTTGTACCTCGACCACGCCGATCCCTGCACTGCAGAGGGTTCACCCGCGCACCGCAAAAACGCAAAAAACCTCGAGTTCTTTTGTACGATCCCCGCAGCAGATCAGAAATCGCAAAAAACCTCGAGTTTTCGCACCTCCACCAGCGCAATGCACTTGGCTCTATGCACTTGGCTCCATGCACTTGGCTCTATGCACGCTCTGTGCACTCGGCTCTATGCACTTGGCTCTATTTGCACTTGGCTCTATGCACGGATCTATGCACTTGGCTCTATGTATGACACAAATCACTCTATGCAAGTTGGTCGAGAGCTCCGCGCGGAAGAACCCTTCGCGATGCTTTCGGGAATACGCCCAGATGCACAGAATGGTGCACCTGCCGCAATTTCGGCAATGGCATCTCCAAAGCGCTGCGCCTGCCACGATTTGGGCAATGGCATCTCCAAAGTGCTACGCCTGCCACGATTTCGCGCGCCCCGAGCCGCGCGCGCGACAACATCCTGCCCCTGTAGACAGCGGCCAAATGCTGCCCCGGCCACACAAACACACAAACACACTGAGTGAGTGAGTGAGTGAGTGAGTGAGTGAGTGAGTGAGTGAGTGAGTGAGTGAGTGAGTGAGTGAGTGAGTGAGTGAGTGAGTGAGTGAGTGAGTGAGTGAGTTAGCGAGCGAGCGAGTGAGTGAGTGAGTGAGTGAGTGAGTGAGTGAACGAGTGAGTGGGTGATTGAGTGTGTGAGTGTGAGCAAGTGAGTGAATGAGTGACTGAGTGAAGAAGTTAGTGAGTGAGTAATTGAATGAGTGAGTGAGTGAGTGAGTGGTGGACGGCCGACGGTGGGGCGGAAAAACAAGCACCCCACACCAAGATGTGGGGCAAAGCACTTGCACAATTTGGGTGATTCGCTTGAGGAAGCCTGTCCTCACATCCTGCAAGCCCAGGTCATGCCCCGCCCGCTGTTGACAAAGAGCCACCTGGGCAAAGGCGGCTCCCTGGCAGAAGCCTGCCACTCCGTCGAAGGGGCCGAATCTGGTGGACACCTGGCAGACCCCTGTCTAAAGGGACACACCCAAAACAGGCCCTACACGTTTGCCCCGTTGCTTGCTACAAGTACTTTCTACTTGGGATTTGGGGGGTCAGCCTCTTGGAAGGAAGGCAGCCTTTCAAAACCACGCCCAGGTTTCTACAATTTCGACGCACACCCGCCTCTTTGAGGTAATGAAAGGCCTCGCTGTAGCGTCGGCTTTCGGCTTCTGCCGCTCTCTCAATCTCTGTTTTGGACATGTTGCCCATGTGGAGGTCGAAGAACATCTGGAAGTTGGAGGGCCACTCCTTGCGATTTGTCGCAACATGTTCTGATGGTTGCATTCCTTTTTGCCAAAGTTCAGACCAAAAATTCCCCACCACTCCTTGTAGGCCGCCCCGGGTCGGTACTTCTTGCTGGCCACCAGTTGGGTGAGACCCACCCGCTGCAGCTGCTCCGGGTCTGCGTCGGCCTCCACAACATGCGGCCCATCGGGGATCACGAAATCGAGGTTCTGCTGCCACCAGCCCTGCGCCTTGAGCAGCTCGATCGCCACCTCGCGAGCTACCAGTGCAGCCAAGGGCCAGAAAGCCATGTTGGTTTGCCCTTTCGGGCTCCCGCCTCTATTGAAGCTTTTTAGTTGTCACGACAAGCTGGGACCAAGCGAAACTGGACTGTCCAATTGGCTACAAACACGAGAGCAGATGCAAAAAGATCCCTTCCGTTGGCCAAACGCACAAGTCTCAAAAGTTTGGGATGGCGTGGCTTTGCATGAACACACCCGCCCAAAGCCAACAGCCCGCCAGGCGGTCTGTCTTCTGGCCATGGAAGAAGAGCACCCGCGGCCGGCGCGCGGGCGCCAAGACCCCGGCCACGTCCTGGGGCTCGTAAGGCCACAACTGCGCCGCTTTGGAGCTGGCCGGCCGAAGCAAGTCGTCCAAGTTGGGCACTCCCTGCCATGGTCAAAAATTGGATTGACCCCTTTTAGGGACGCTAACGATTTTTAAAACGAAACCAAACAAAACCAATCATGAAGGGGAATCCCTAAGCTTTTCAGCCCAACTTCCTGGAAGTCGGGGTTCAGAAGCTGGGCGTTGCTCTGCCACTCCTCCCTTCGCTGGGCAACGAAGCGCCAGAATGGGAGATGCTCGGAGGTCAGCCTTGCCACCTTCTCCTTCATGGCCTTGAAGTGCTGCCACATCACGGTGACCGCATCGTGGGGTGACAGATTGGTAGACTTGGACAAGGCCTCCAGCGCCTCCAAAGGCACCAAAAACCCGCAATTCCGAAGTCCCAAAAACATGCCCCGGCCTGAGGGTTCTTCCGATAGGAGAGGAAGGCATTGGCAAAGGAGTGGACGTAGAAGGAGTAGCTTGGGCACAAAAGCGAGCTCACGCGCTCAGGCACCTCAAGCGGTAAAGCTGTCATCCCCACCTTGAAACCCAGCCAAGTCCTTGTGAGAAGCATGTGGCTGTGTGTGAGGAGTAGCCGAACCTTTTTGGTGTCGGTTTTACAAGGACACCAATTCAGGAAACGCCATTTCACGGGGGAGGTAACCTCACGTCTTGACAGGTCCCCTTCTCTTATGCCGCTTCGAGGTGCTACCGAGGGCTTCCACCCTTCGCGCTGTTGTTCGACATCGCGTGGTTTCGTCCGGTCAGTTCCCCAAACCGTCGGCCAAAAAAATGCCGCTCATAATATATGTACAAAGTGTTGCCCCATGTTCATTCATGACAAGAAACTGGGTACATGGAATGTGTCTCAATTCGGGTTTGACATTGTTGGATTTGAAGCGAAAGCCATCGACTGCCTGACTTTGACTGGGGTCGTACTTTGTGTTGAACAGGGCTAAACAACCTAGAAGGGTCAACTTCCAACCCTGTGGTAAGCGCGCTTTTCTTGAGCCATGCGTAGCGAATAAAGCGAAGCTACGCCAGTGAGACACTCATGCAATGCGAGCCAGAAACCGGGACCCGTATTAACCCCAGTCCGGTGAGTGAGAGCTAACCCTGGCTTTTTGATGGGCATTGGTCTTGAGCCAAACGGGCATTGCCGTGCGACATATATCAACATGTTCAAGCAGGCATCAAGGGGCCTCATGCAATGCATGTCGCTGGGTACCTCTTTGGGGGCCTAGGCGTCGTGAATTAACTCCCCCCTCTCCGTGAACACTAAGAGGACACTTATAGTACAATCGCGCATGAGCTGCGATCCACGCATTGCAAGGTCCTTTACCAGACCTTTGAGAGGACTTACTCAAGATTTCTGCGCGTATCGTACTGCTTTGTCATCTCAGGCCGGACATCCTTCAACTTTGCAAATTTGTCCTGATGCCCAATAACTTGAGAGCGTGGTCCCACTTCAAGGGTTGTAGCGCTGTTGTGAAGATGTCGGCTGCCTGTAGATCGGTTGCTACGTACTTGATCACTACACCTGTCTGCAAGTGCGGACAAGTTCACTTTATGAGTGCGCTGTATGTGCCGCATTTTTGGCGAGTAACCTTCAGGATAGTCCTTTCTTAGCAACCAGGATAGTGGCTTGGTTGTCTTCGTGTAACACCAGTTCAACCGGGCGTCCAAGCAAAAGTTCCCAAAGAGTCAAGGAGGGGAGACCCTCTTGATACAAAAAGAACGTGAGTGACACAACCTCGGCTTCCGTGGTGGGCCTCGACAATGATGTCTGTCGCTTGCTCAACCACGCTAACGGGATATGGGTGTTCGGTCCTTTGAGAACCAAGAAGCCACTGGATGTGGACTTCGCATCCCTTTCTCCCGCATAGTCGGCATCTGCATACAGAGCGAGGTGAAGATCTTGCGGATTATCCTTGGTGACTCCACCAACCGGTAGTGCGTTGTCGAGTGGATGTACGCGATAAGACGGGCGAGCTGCCTATCATGGTTGCGAGACCACTTCTGCACGGCGGTGGCTAAGTTGCCTATGGGCTTGATGATATCAGGACGCCCTAGTCGCCCCAGCCATAAGGCCTTCATGAGGAGTTTGCACGCATTTGGGGCGAGCTCACCAGCTGACTGGTCATCTTCAGAGGGAAGTGATCCGTCTGGGCAGAACGGAGTTTGGGTGCCGGTTATAGAACAAAACAGTTCTACAGTTTGACGGGCATAGTCGTTCATGTCAAAGGCAACGGCACCATTTAATGCGCTTACAGCTGCATTCAGATCATGTTCCTGAGGCTCTGCGGGGCCGTCTATGAAGACATGGTTACGCCCAAGCACACGAAAGATCGGCTCGGGAGGCTCTACGTTGATCATTTTTGTGAGCTTTGCCCAAAAGGCTTCGTGTGCATCTGCGGGACCTGAGAGGGTCAAGTCATCGACGTAAGTCGAGAGCATAAGGCCCACCCCTTTAAAGAAAAAGTATCCAGGAAACTCTGGGATTTCTTCACTTCCAAGCTGCTTGAGCAGTTTCTTAAGGTGCGCGCCTCCCACAGACCTCCTGCGTCGGGGTGACCATATAGGGCACGGATCAACAAGACCGCGGGCTTCACGAACTCCTTGGGTCGCAACTCAGGCGGGAGTTCGATCCGTGTCTTGGAATTGCGAGCTAAGGAATGCCTGGACGTAGGCCTTTACCGCGTCAGCGGTGGTGACCGTGTGTCCTGGGATACACCCATAACGCCAAACAGGCGTTCAAGCCTTGCACCGAGTTCCTGGTACTCATTTTTGGCACAGTCTCCCCTGAACACGATGCGCCCTTTTACCGTTTGAAGGTGCTTTGCAAGTTCATAGAACTTGATGCTGGCGATCGTCATGAGCTGACCAAAGTGTACCTTGATCCCAGACTGTCGCGCTTGAGCTGCGACCTCAGCCTTCTCCCGGACAGTTGAACTATCCCATACTCCGATGTCTTGCAGTCCGGTCGCCTCCTGTTTTACTGCTTCCAATGCAGTCTTGACCTTGCCGATGACACGCTTTCTAGTCTCGTGAATCATCATCCTGAGTAATAGGAATCACGTGACAGCCGACAGCAGGACGACGGTAAGTGTTACCAAGCTTGGACTCAGGCGAGCAACACACTTCAAGCAGAATACGGCCCCCCGTGCTCCTGGCCTCGGATTTCTCCAGGCGTGGCGACACCGCAGCCAGATTGCCATTTTGCTAGCGATGTTCATGAGCTTCAACTTTTCGGCACTGGTGAAACGCTTTATAAGACTATCGGCAGCTTGGAGCTCGGTTGAAACATGAGTGAGCTTGCAGCGCTTCCGTTTTGTCCGTGTGGCGCAATGCTGGAGACCTACCACTTTCAAGGATACGTGTGATGGCCTGGTTGTCCTCGAGAAAGATGCCCTCCACAGTACCATTGTTGATAAGAGCAAGATTTTCACTTCCTATCTGTTCATTTCCAACATAATGAAAGTCCGTGAGGTTCTCCCTATCTTTTTGGCCTCAATGTTAAGGTCGACTTCACCAACCCCCCGCATGAAGAAGTTGTCTTGTGTAGTCGGTCTGAACGAGGTTGCATGGCTCTGCACGGGTGCTTTGAGCTAGCTGCGCCATGTAGTAGAGGCAACTGTGGCAAGTGGATCCTGATTAGCCCAGCACGGACAAGGGTGCGCTGGTAAAAATCACAGCGGGACACACAACAAGACGACACCGTGCAGCGCAATCCACACGCAGAGCAAAATGGAACGCGTGCAAGGTTGATCCTACACTACGGTAGGGGCCCCGAAACAACGCGGCGTCAAACTCAGCTCAGAGCCCTTCGTTGTTTCTGGGAGAAAGTGGGCTTACGAATGCTGTTGTTCACCGCAAAGTTACAAAAGGGGGGGTAGATATAAATGCGCGCTACCATGTAAACAGGTATGCTACTCAACCTACTAGGAAAACTTGAAATGCCTTTCGTGAACAACTACATGTGCAGAGCATACAACAGCACCCGTACAAGGGAAAACGCCTCGCTAGGCGCGCTGTTTTGTCGACGCACGCTCAGATTAGCAACACGGAGAAGCATTCCTACCAGTTCCTGATCGAAGACGCGAGAAACCATTTGGAAAGGAAGCGGCTTGTTCATATGAGGGATGCAATGTCGAGCCACACGACGGGACGCGGTCGACTCCGTCGAACAATCCTGCTCTTCCTGGAGTGTATGTATTGAGTTTCAAACTGGCCAATGCACCTATTCGTGCTGAAATGTTGGTGAACCATCAAGAGAATCTGTCGGCCTCTCGCAAACGGAGATGAGAAGGACAAGAAGAAGAAAAGGAAGAAGAAGAAGAGCAAGAAGGACCGAAGCCGACAAAGGTGACGGGACCCATTCTCTTCCCCTTCGTCCTCCTCATCCTCATCGTCTACAGCGTCTGATGAGTCGTTTCGACGAAAGCTACTGAAGCACTTAGGTTCTTCCAGCGATCCGACAACGGAACGCGCTCGTGTACAGGAAGGTGATCGAATTCATATCCCCCGTATTCCGAAACCTGAGCAGCGCCGTAATTGGAGGATCAAAGTTGGGGATGCCTGCTACTTCCGATCAACCCGAAAAGGCATTTGAGTGGATTGAGGCAACTTGGATCTCTGGTCAGACGGTTGACGTCCTTCGTGATTCAGGTATGTTTATTCATCTTGACGCAAAGCTGGCGCCGAGCTGACGATCATCTTGGAAGGCGACCTCGCGCGGCAAGTCGACATCTTCAAGGAGCAAGAGGCGAAGGAGAAGAGATAATTTTCATAATCACCAGGCCCACCGTTTCCGGTGCGGCATCTGCCACAACTCCGGCGGGAACGGATCCATCTCCCAACCTTCGTCCAGCGTGCGAAGAAGCAGTAGAAAATCCGGATGGAGATGCAACCACAGGTGTTGGGGGTACAACCAGAAAAGTTGCTGGCGCTTGTTGAACAGGAGGCACAGTAGTCGGAGCAGCTTGGGCAGGCTGTTGTTGTTTGTTCATCATCTGCGCAACCATCGCCCTCAGCTCTTGGATCTGTTACACTCTCCTGATCGGCACTGAGGTATTTCATCTCGGCTTCTCTCTCAGGTTTTAGAGTGTTGGCACGTTGTTCCGCATTCACCTGGATTTCCCGCCTCGTAGCGTCAAATTGACTTTGAAGTCCAGCAATGATCTCACTGTGTCGCGCTTCTGCGGCCTGAGCTACCATAGGACCAGTATTCTGATTCACGAATCGGTTAATCTGGGCGTTTGTTCTGAGTTGCATTGAACTGCTGATAGTTTGTCACTCTTGATTGACTGTCATAGAAGGATCGAGGTGAACATTCGCAACATGCTGATTGAATTGGTTCATGGACTGTGGCATAGGGTTCCCCCTTGCGGGGTTGGACTGAGGGTCATACATGACGACGTCACCACGCCGATGCCGATCCGATCCAACGGGTGATGGGGATCGACAGACCGCTCAGGCCTTCCGGCAACGCGGGGCCTTGACTGTTCAATTCTTGTCCCTTCTTGATGAGCCACTTGTGAGTTCGCGCCATGCTCATCAGGAGTTGGAAGCGCCTTGGTAGGGGAGATTCCAGCATCGCAACTCTGCACAGTGGGCCGCTTACGGCTGATAACCTATAGAACAGGCTAAACAACCTAGAAGGGTCAACTTCCAACCCTGTGCTAAGCGCGCTTTTCTTGAGCCATGCGTAGCGAGTTAGACGAAGCTACGCCAGTGAGACACTCATGCAATTGGGGTTAATGAGGTTTATAAATACATCACATGGTAAAATACACCCACCCAATTGCGACGGCTGCTCCCAATGAAAAGCCGGCCAAGCATAAGCTAAAGTCTCTGGGCCCCTGGTCAACTCAAAGCCTTTGGCCGTTGATCGCTGCCTGGAACTGGTCGTTGGCCACCAGGTTAACGTCGCCGTCGATCCAGAAGCTGGCCACCTGCTCCAGCGGCCTGCCAAGAATCTGCTCCACGCAGGGAGCGTGGAGGAAGCCGATGCACTTGAGCAGGCGTGTGCCTAAAAGTGGCTTGACCCCCTCAAGTGGCCGATTTGGATGTCCTGTGCAATGGACAACAACATGGGTTGCCAAGCTTCGAACCACTTTTCAAGGGAAACATTTCACCATTCCAGAGCCCCCGCCCTCCACAGAAAACAGCTGAAGCCGGCAACAAGATGCATACCTGCCGAGCTTCGAGTTTCAGGCTTCCTGCTCACCGGTCCAACAGGGCCCCTCCCAACATTCTAACTACAGCACCCCTAACCCTTGTAAGTGAAGGTAAGTCGTGGGGGTTTGCCTTTGGGAACTCTCGCGCTGCACCAGGATCCGCAGGGCCATCTGACTTGTAAATGGACACAAATTTCAAAAGCTCGCGCTTAAGTAAAACGCCCCAGTTCAGGGGTCCGTTTAGATGGGTTCCAACAAATGAGCTCCAGCTTGCAAAGACAGGCATCATCACAATGATGTGGGTGTGTGTGGCAAGTGGGCCCGTTTGCGAGAGACTCCATTGATGGTGGGGCAAACTTCAGGCAAGGGGCACTCGATGACTTGCTGGGTGTCACCTTCTTGCACCACCTCAGGAACAACTCTGCATCAAGTCTATTTTCTTCCTGCGGCGGCAGACCGAGACGTCCCGAGTGTCTGACCACCGCGCCCTCCTTCACGCGCTTCACCTCCCCGATCACAACCTTCAGCTTGCCCATCGCCTCTCAAGCCCGGTGCTTTGTACAAGGAAATGGCTCAGCTCAAGGATCTAGCCTGTTACAATACTAGCAATCCTCATGCTTCAAGCGTAGCGCATGTCGCTTGCGCTGGGCGCGCCAATTCTCGCCCGGAGCCTGCTACACAGCTTGCGACAGCACGTGTCTGAAATCTGGCTAAGTACAAATAGCACGAGTACCATGAAACCAGTTGTCCACTTTGTCCTTGAAATGATTTACTACACCTCGCAAGCAAGAATATGAACCAACTGCCTGTGCCAAGAAGTAGATGTCGGAACATGGCGGGATGCGGAAGTCGATGGAATCCTCCTTTAAGGCTGGCAGGTCATCCAGCGTGAGGCCCACCGACTGGTAGAAGCTGGCCAGGATGGGCCGGATCTCCCGGATGGACAGGGTGCTATGCACGGAGTTGATGAGCCAATTTACTACCGTGGGGAAGACCACGTTCCGGCGCCGAGCCACCATGGTCACGCGCTTGGCCCCCTGCTGCAGCGCGGTGCGCATGTTCTCCACAGCAAAGGCGCCATGGCCCACGATGACCACCTCCTTGTCCTTGAAGAATCCAGGATCCACGTCATCCTTGTGACCAAGGCCAATCTTTCCGGTGAACCGCTCTTCGCCTGGGTAATTTACATTCCTGGGATGGTGCAGGCCTCCCAGAAAGAAAGCCACGCCGCCCACGGTCATGGACTGCTCCTCTTCAAGCTGGTTCATGAAGCTGACTTGGTACTGGCCGCGCTGCAGTGTTTTGACAGACGTCACTCTGTGACCCAGCCTCACATCAGGCAGCACCTTTGCTGCGTTGCGCACCTCTGTAAGGATCTGCTCCTTGGAAGGGTAGGCAGGCAAGTTGAACTGCTGCTCGTAGTTCAACATGTAGGAAGGGGAGTCGATCTGCAGGCGGGACGATGAATTTCCCAGGTGCCACGAGCCACCCGGCTGGTCCCCTTTCTCCATGACTATGACATTCTCCCTTGCCATGTGGAGCTGCTGTGCAAAGATCACCCCGCCCACGCCAGCGCCCACCACGAGAGTGGGCAACTTGCTTGTCGCGGCTTCAAAGTCCCCCATCAGCGGCACCGCTGCCAGCTCCCGGGCCAAGACTTGCTCCAGGTCTCTCACAGTGGAGGCTTCTGAGGCGAGGGTGGGCAATACCTTCACCCCTAGCTCCTAAAGCAGGGCACGCAAAAGGAACACCATCAGCAACTAGAAGACGGAAGGCCTGAAAACATAACCGGCGCGCAAGGTCTTCTGCGCACCGAGCCTTCTGCGTGTCACCTTATCTCAGTTCTGTGTGTGTGTGAAATCGGCGCAAGGCGTTCTGTGTGGGTCGTTCTGCGCAACTGGCGTTGCGCTTTTTGATCTGCGCAAGATGTGCCGCGAGTGTTGTCTTATGTGTTCCATCTGCGTGTGTGTGTTTGTGCGTGCGTGCGTGCGTGCGTGCCTGCGTGCCTGCGTGCGTGCGTGCCTGCGTGCCTGCGTGCGCGTGCCTGCGCGCCTGCGTGCGTGCGTGCGTGCGTGCGTGCGTGCCTGCCTGCGTGCGTGCGTGCCTGCCTGCCTGCGTGCGTGCGTGCGGGCGGCGGGCGGGCGGGCGGGCGTGCGTGCGTGCGTGCGTGCGTGCGTGCGTGCGTGCGTGCGTGCGTGCGTGCGTGGGTGTGTGTGTGTGTGTGTGTGTGTGTGTGTGTGTGTGTGTGTGTGCGTGTGTGTGTGTGTGTGTGTGTGTGTTGAAACCTGTGCTACGAACGGCTTGTGCGAGTTGCACTCACCGTGGTGGTCTTTGCAATCCTGTGTGCCCATGGCATTCGCAAACTGTCGCCTCGAGCTGGCTGCAGATTCCCCAGCCGAAGCTGGAGCATGACTTTTGTGCTCAAAAATTGTGATTCTCGTGCTGGAGCTGAGAAAGCGAGCAATATTCTCGCAACTTGAAATTGCGATTTGCGAGTCAGAGCCGTGAAGCTGGACTTTGAGCACTTTGTTCTTCTTCTGATCTTCTTTAATTTCCTATTCCTTAGCAGCACGCGGCCCGGGATCGAACTCGGGACTGCTCGCTTCCAAGAGCGGGCCCGCAAACCAGGAGAGAGAACTTTCGGGCCCGCGCCCAAGCTCGAAAGTAATACTTTAATGCGCGCCCATGCGTCCGGCACGCACGCGATCCGAGCAAAGGAACGCGCAGGCCACAAGAAGATGCGCACTACGCAGACAGTTGCAGGCGCCACACCAAGATGCGCAAGAGACCACACGTGTACGCACTCAACACGATCCCCGCAGGGCTGACTTTCGTAGTTGTCCTGTCCTACCCCTCCGCCAGCGGAAGCACTTTTGCAACGAAACTAAAAAACGCGTGGGTTTTGGCGGCAAGCGTCCCCCTCGCAAGTGAGTTTTCGCTTCGAAAGAAAGATAAAGAAAGCTCTGTTGAGTGTAATGTGAACGTAAGTCCCGTTCGAGTTTCTCCGCGCAGGTTCGGAAGTATGTCCAGACACGAGTTCATAGATAGTCTGCAGAAAGAAGTCTTCCTTATGCAAGTTAGTCTGTGTAAGTTTGCTGTTCAACGTGAGTCCTCTGTGAGCCCCACATTGTTCCTATGCTAGGACCATGCCTTTCAACACTTCTCACATCTTCTCGCAACTCAATCCTGAAACGCCGACTTGCCCCGGTCCTTGGAGAGGCCCTGTGACAAGTTCGCAGCCCCCAGGGAGTCCAGCCCAATGTCCACCAGCTCAGCATCAACGCTCACCTGCGTCGTTCCGGTTTTAAAAGACTAGGTTGGCCAGCCAAAACCCTTCGCTGGTTCACAGATGTTCACAGGCAAACCACGAGGAAACCCTACGCTTGGGGGTTTTAAGACAAACCCGCCTCAGTTTCCTCCTGGCTCGTCAGCTCAGCCACCAGACGCCGAATCAGAACTCCCAGCTCTGGAGTTGGGCCCCGATTGTCTGGGGCCTTGGCGCTGGCTGAGGGGACATGGGCGAGGTCCCCACGCGCAGCGCACACGCAACCGAGGGCGCCGTGTGACAGGAGGTGGTCCAAAACATCAATCCCCTGGCGGTTGGTGAAAGCTCCAAATCCGTGCCGCTCAGCTCTGCCCAGCACATCCTGGCTGGCTGCCATCCCAACCTTGCAGGAGAAAACACCTATTTCCCGCGGCTGACAATTCTGAACTCCGCGCCCCAAAGCAAACCCCAACCAGCCGCAATTTTTCAAGAACCGTTGAGTTCACAACCGCTTGGCCCATGGGCGGCCCAAGTCACAGAACATGTTCGTTTGCGCAACATCGCAACCCCACCCGGCCTCGCTCCAAGGCCCCCATTGGACGCTGAGCATCCTGGCGCCAGAGCCAGAGTCGGAAGCGGAGACGAGCCCGTCCATGGCAGCGTTCGCGGCCGCGTAGGCGCACTGGCCCGGCGAGCCCAGCACCGCGGCGGAGGAGAACATCACCAGCCAGTCTGAAGGCTCGAGCTCAGGCAGCAGCAGCGCTGGCAGGATCTTCGGGCCGAAGGCGCGGCGCAACAGCTCCTCCGACTGGTTGGCGAGCATCGCATCTGCCAGGACGCCCGCCGCGTGCATCACCCCGTGGACCTCGCCCTTGTCCCGGATGGCCTGGATAGCGCTGCGCAACTCACCCGCCACGGACACATCGCAGCGAAGCCAATGAAGACGCCTGTCATCTTCCAAGTATCCCGGGCAGCTGCGCGAGAGCAGTGTCACCGAGGTAGCACCTCATGCGAGCGCGGCGCAAAACTCCCCTCTCCCTCACCTCTGCGCCCTGCTCACATTGCCCGCCTGACCCGGAGGAAGTGAGTGTGGTTTATCGCTGTGAGTAAATCTCCCTTCAAAGCTGCACCACACACAAGGGGGTTTCCCAAAAAAGAGGTTATTTGTGCTTTGACCCACACCAGTATGAATCCAGTATGAATGGCTGAAACTTCAAAATCTCTGACATCTTTTGAGGCGATCCCATACTGCTTCTTGTCAGGAACTTGAAGTGTTTCTTCGAAATGGAACATCTCCTGTTTCCAAGGCCAGAACCCTGCAGCTTGGTTGGCTTGTTGGTTCCGACCCCATGTTTTTGGCAAGGCACAATCAATGCTGCTGGGATCACTCGGTTTGCTAAGACAATGTCTTGCGGTTTTCTTCAATTATTTGGAACAGGATGAGGCGTCCTTAGTTTTGGTTGGACACCTTGCGCATCCCGTGCAACCGGGCTTCGTGTCTTGGATCCGGACGCGCCCCGGCAGAACCCTTCTTGCCAAAGGAAACAGCTTCCCCTATTGTATCCCGTCCCTTGAATTTAAGGATATATGCATTTCACAAACTGTGATATTGAACAGACGATACAAACAACAAACATAGGAAAAAGAGATTAAGAATCCCTTATGACACCTTCGGTGACCCGCCTCGGCTAAGGAGCCACTCGGCGCACACCCTGGCCAGAGAGCCGCTGCCGCCAGTGATGACGTAGCGGCCGTCCAGGCGCACACTGACCCCGGGCTGCCGGTCGGGGCGCCACCGCTCCAGCCGCGGCACCAGGATGCTCTCGGGGCTGACGCGGCAGACGGGCTCGTCCGACACCGGCGGCAACTTCAGGTCAGAGTGCTCCGCTAAGGCTGCCTCCACCTCTGCCCAGGAGCTCGCGGGCAAATGCACCACCTGCCCATGCGCACTCAAACAACAACAAGCTTCCCGGACGCCGGGAACAAACCGGCTGACCTCACCAATCCTCAAACGCATCTTTCCAGTTGATTGGGCCGCGCCAACAAATGCGATCGCATGACCTAGCTTGACCCGTTTTGCGAATGTCACTGCTCTTCAACACCGTTGAAAACAATCAGCAAGCCGCGCATGAACAAGCCGCTCCCGCCAAGAACAAGCCGCAAGCAACCCCAAGCCGCACACAGCCGAAAAGACTGCCGTGTCATCCGCTGTTCCAACCCTCTGCCTGCACGCGCAGCTCCTGCTCACCCTGCGCACTCCGCAGCATGGAGGCGGCGGCTGCAAAGCACGCCTCTGCCGCTTGACCTCTACCAGCGACCAGCAGACGCCACGCGCCCGGCTCCTCGCCTGCCTTCTGCAAGGTTTTCAGAACAAAGGCTGAACATCTTTCGATGATTTGAAGTGACGTCTGCTGCTGGTCGCCCTCGGCCTCCTCAGCAATCTCTCGGTCCCAGCATTTCATGGCCAATAGCCTCACTCCATCTGCACTCCACTCTCTGGCCATGCCACGAAAGACTTGCTTGGAGGCAAGCATGATCGGCACACTTGCAGCTGCGCATGGAGCGCTTTGCCATCTTGTTGTGTGCAACACAGATGGTGTCCCGGGGATGTCGAAAAATGCTCCTTGCCTGCCATGCCAACACACAGTGGGAGGGGTCTGGACTCGTGCAGCTTGTGGGTCTGCCTCCAGCTGCTGGAGCAGGACCTGCGCGTTGCTGCCTCCGAAGCCGAAGGAGGACACGGCGCCCAGCTGAGCCCGGCAGGCCATCAGGGCGTCGGGGAAGAAGCTGCTGTCATTGAGCTCTCTCAAATGGGCGTTGAGCTGGCGGATGTGCAGGTTGGGCATGGCCACACGGCGGCGCAGAGTGGCCATCAGCTTGAACAACCCGGCCATGCCGGCAGAGCCTTCAAGGTGCCCCATGTTGGTCTTGACAGCGCCCAAAACCAGGCACGCGGACTGCTCAGACCTGGAGAACACCGCCAATGTGGACTGCGCCTCGATGGGGTCGCCCAGTTTGGTGCCCGTGCCATGCAACTCCACAAAGCCCACGTCTGCGCCCTTCGCGCTTGCCATGCGCAGGGCCTCCCGCATGAGCTCCTGCTGAGCAGGCCCGCTCGGCGCTGTCAAGCTGGCGCTGTGTCCGTTGTGGTTGGTTGCCGTGGCTGGCACAGCCGCGGCTGTCACACCTGCCAGCAACTGGAGTTGAATCACTGCACTACAAGCCAAACCCAACGTCTGTTCTGCCCGCCCGAACCCTCCCAGACCTCGCCTGCGTCCCGAGCGGCACGCTGCAAGACCAGTGCTGCCACTCCTTCCCCGCGGCAGTAGCCGTCAGCCGAGGAGTCCAAGGTGCGGCACCGGCCGCTCTGTGACAACATGCCTGCCGCGCATGATCCGATGAAGGGCAGCGCGCTCATCATCACGTGTGTGGCGCCCACAAGCGCGGCGTCACTGCGGCTTTGGGCCACTACCAACGCTACCAGGCTGGACGAGCAGGCAGTGTCGACGGTCGTGCTGAGCCCTTTCAGCTGAAAGTGGAAGCTGATGCGGTTGCTCGTGATGGCAGGCGATAGGCCGGTGCCAATGAAAGGTGTTCCGGGGTGGTTTTGTAGCGGCCAGTCATGATTAGCCTGTCCAACAACAACTGCAGCAGACTTCTCCACTGCCTCGCAGCCTGCGCAAGCTGCTGCTTGCAAAAGCAACCGCTGCTGCGGGTCCATGGCGCTTGCTTCTGGGATGCTGATCTTGAAATAGGCAGCGTCAAACCACTCCACACCATCCATGCACGCAGCATGTTGTGTGTAGGACATGCCAGCAGACCCAGCTTCAGGATCATACCAAGAGTCAAGGTCCATGCGAAAGCTGGGTACCTCCACAACACAATCCCGGCCACCGCAAAGAACATCGGCGATGGAAACGCCAGGCAGCTGGCAGCAGGCTCCGGCCACTATCATGGCCGCCCGCGGCGCAGCAACTGGCAAGTTGGGCGGCGCATCCTCGCGAATGTGGGCGCCAGCTTGTTGAGCCAGCTGGTCCGCCATCGATCCCAGGGTTGGAAAATCAAAAAGCCAAGTTGACGGAAGCTTCGCGCCGATTTCTTTGGAGACGCGGTTGGCAAGCTCCACTGCCAAGAGTGAGTCCACTCCGGCATCCATCAGGGGCTGATTGGGGTCCAGCTCATGGCCCAGCATGTCCGTGGCAAGTCGCTGGAGCAGTGCCAACGCCTCAGTTGTTCAGAATATAAGGTTCCTCAACCAGCCAACCCTTTTTTTGGAACGGCTTTCACTCAATGATAAAGGCAACACCGCGCCACACGCCGAATGTTGGGACGGCTGTCGGACCCATGCAAATCACCAGGCACCAGCAGCGGAGTGGTGTTTCCATCCCGATTGAAGCACGCTAAATCAGGTTCACAAGGAACTCTCGCTCTTGTCCCACACGTGCGTACGTGCCATACACAAACAATCTGGAAGACGGGTGGCGCGAAAGCACTTTCCATGACACTCAGCCTGAATCAATTCACTTTTCCAACTCTGCGCAAGCCTCTACGCGTTTCACTGTCTACTTTCCCTGCGCATGCATCTATGCACTTCACTCTGTACATGCCCTACGCCTGCCTCTACGCATTTCACCGTCTACTTTCCCTGCACATGCTATGTGTTTCACCGTCTACTTTCCCTGCCCTGTATTTTCATCCCTGCGCATGCATCTACGCGCTTCACTCTGCACTTGCCCTACGAATGCCTCGTTGCATGCCTCTACGCGTTCCACTGTCTACTTTCCATGCGCATGCCTCTATGCACTTCACTCTGCGCTTGCCCTGCGCACGCCTCTTTGCGTTTCACTGCCGACTCTGCGCATGCCTCTATGCAGTTCACTGTCCAATTTCCTGCGCGTCATCTATGTATTTCACTCTGTACTGGCCCTATGCAATCGTCTACGCATTTCATTGTCTACTTTCCCTACGCATGCCTCGCCGCTTTTCATTGTCTGCCTTCCCTGCGCATGCCTCTATGCATTTCACTGCGCGCTCTCCCTACGCATGCCTCTACGCACTACTGTTGCACTTAAAAGTTACGACTTTGCAGCCGGAGCTGCGGGGACTACTTTTGTGCCTAAAAATTGCGACTTTGCACCCGGACCGCGGGGACGTACTTCGCGCGCAGCTTTTGTGCTTAAAAGTTGCGTTTGCAGCCTGATCTCTGCTGACGGTCGCGCGAAGATATGCAAACATTCACCCGGGGCCACAGCGAGAGCGATCTGACACGCACAGAGTCGCGCGCGAACCGCGAAGATCCGCACGGGACCAGAGCAAGAGCGATCCGACACGCACGATCCCTGGAGAGGGTCGCGTGCGCACGGCAGGTTGTTGCACCTCGACCATGCCGATCCCCGCAGAGGGCCGCGCGCGCGCCGCAAGAATCGCCAAAAAACATTCAGTTTTTTTGCACATCGACCACGCCAGCCGAGCGCGCACGGCAAGACTCGCAAAAACCATCAGTTTATAATTGCACCTCGACCACGCCGATCCTCGCAGAGGGCCGCGCGCGTCCCGCAAGAATCGCTGCAGTTTTTCCACATCGACCACGCCGATCCCCGCAGAGGGTCGCGCGGGCAGAAATCGCAAATACCCTAAGTCTTTGCGCATCGACCACGCCGATCCCTGAAAGAGTCTCATTTTCGCGAGTGCGCTCGGTCCCCCCGCACCGCCTTAACATATTAATTTGAAGTTAGCGTGCAAGTTTCCTCGTGCAAGCTAAGCTCGTGCGAGAAAGAATGCAAGATCGCAACACATTTCACCGTCTACTTTCCCTGTGCATGCATCTATGCACTTCACTGTCTACGTTCCCTTAGAGGGAAATTAATGGGGTGAGCGGCAAATGGGGTGAGGCCCGAGGACGAAAACGAGTGTTTCCCCGGAAAAGCACTTTCTTTCCTTTCAGCGCTGAAGGTAATTGTCTCCAGGGCTTGCTGGCTTGCTGGCTAGGTTGCTTGCTTGTGTTTGGTTGCTGTGCTGCGCACAAAGCGGTCAAGCCATTTATTGCTGCATTCATGAGGGCACGTTTAGTGTAGAAAGGCAACACGTTTCTGTGTAGTGGCGTTGATTAGGTGTTTCAAGCTGTTCTACTATAGTAGCAATAGTAGTAGTAGTAGTAGTTGTTGTTGTCGTAATGGTAGTCGTAGTAGTAGTACTTGTGGTCGTAGTAGTAATGGTAGTAGTAGTAGTAGTAGTAGTAGTAGTCCTAGTAGGAGTCGTAGAAGTAGTGGTAGTAGTATTAGCAGCAGTAGTAGTAGTAATGATGAAAATGACAGGAGTAAAAGTAGCAGGAGTAACAATAGCAGTAACAACAACAATAACAGTAACAGTAACAGTAATAGTAGTAGTAGTAATAATAAGAGTAGGAGCAGGAGTAGGAGTAGCAATCGTAGTAGTAGTAGTAGTAGTAGTTGTTGTTGTTGTTGTTGTTGTTGTAGGAGTAGTAGTAGTGGTAGTAGTAGTAGTAGTAGCATTAGTAGTAGTAGTAGTAGTAGTAGTAGTAGCAGGAGCTGTAGTAGAAGTAGTAGTAGAAGTAGAAGTAGAAGTAGAATTCGCAGTAGTAGTAGTAGTAGTAGTAGTAGTAGTAGTAGTAGTAGTAGTAGTAGTAGTAGTAGTAGTAGCGGTAGTAGGAGAAGTAGTAGTAGTAGCAGCAGCACCCATGGTCAAACGCCCGGCCCCAAACGGTGGGTCGCAAACAGCCATCCCAAGGTGGTCCCAAACCATGGTCCCAAACACGCATGGTCTCAAATTGTGGGGTCCCAAACATGGTCCCAAACAGGTGGTCCCAAACAGTATGGTCCCAAAGTACTGATCCCAAACACCCATGGTCCCAAACAGCTGGTCCCACACATTCATGGTCCCAAACGCCCGGCCCCAAACAGGGGCCCTAAACACCCAAGTCCCAAACGATGGTCCCAAACCATGGACACCCATGGTCCCAAACGTGGTCCCAAACGAAACTCCCAAACAATGGTCCCAAACGGTGGTCCCAAACAATGGTCTCAAATGGTCCCACGCAGCTGGTCCCAAACACGTATGGTGGTGGGTCCCAACAGCTGGTCCCAGACAGCTGGTCCCAGACAGCTGGTTCCAGACACCCATAGTCCCAAACAAACGGTGGGTCGCCACTCAGGTCCCAAACGATGGTCCCAAACCATGGTCCCCAAATTGTTTCCGGTCCCAAACACGTATGGTGGTGCGTCCCAAGCGCCCATGGTCCCCAACAGTGGTCCCGGACACATGGTCCCAAACACCCGGCCCCAAACAGTGGGCCAACACCTGCATGGTCCCAAACAATGGTCCCAAATTATGGTCCCAAACCCAAATTGCATGTCCCGAACACCCATGGTCCCAAACCATGGTCCCAAACACGCATGGTCCCAAATTGTGGGCCCCAAACAGCCCATGATCCCAAACGGAAACGTGGGTCCCAAAAACCCATCGTGCCAAACGATGGTCCCAAACAACAGCTGGTCCCATGGTCCACACGATGGTCCCAAACAGCTGGTTCCCAAACATACATTGGTCCCAAACAGTAGTCCCAAACACCCATGATCCCAAACAGCTGCACCCATGGTCCCAAACAGTGGTCCCAGACACCCATGGTCCCAAACGCCACGTTTGGGACTTGGGTGTTTGGGACCCACCGTTTGGGGCCGGGCGTTTGGGACGTGGGTCTGGGACTGTTTGGGACAAATGGGTGTTTGGGACCAGCTGTTTGGGACCATCGTGTGGACCAGGGGAGCAGCTGCTGTTTGGGACCATGTTTGGGACTACCGTTTGGGACCATCGTTTGGGACCATGTTTGGGACCATCGTTTGGGACCTTTGGGACGCACCGTTTCCGTTTGGGACATGGGGTGTTTGGGACCCACAATTTTGGGACCATGCGTGTTTGGGACCATGGTTTGGGACCATGGGTGTTTGGGACCAGCTGTTTGGGATATACCGTTTGGGACCCTGTTTGGGACCACCGTTTGGGACCATCGTTTGGGACCATGGGTGTTTGGGACCCACCGTTTCTTTTGGGACCACCGTTTGGGACCATGGGTGTTTTGGACCCACAATTTGGGACCATGCGTGTTTGGGATGGTTTGGGACCATCGTTTGTTTGGGAGGACCATGGGGGCCGGGTGTCTGGGACCACTCTGTTTGGGACCATGAGTGTTTGGGACCACTGTTTGGGATTATACCGTTTGGGACCATCGTTTGGGACCATGTTTGGACCACCGTTTGGGACCATCGTTTGGGACCATGGCCACCGTTTCGTTTGGGACCACCGTTTGGGACCATGCGTTTGGGACCAGCTGTGTGGACCAGCTGTTTGGGACCATGGGTGTTTGGGACCAGTGTTTGGGACCATACCGTTTGGGACCATCATTTGGGACCATGCATGTTTGGCCATCGTGACCAACCGTTTGGGACCACCGTTTGGGACCATGGGTGATTTATGACCCACAATTTGGGACCATGCGTGTTTGGGACCATGGTTTGGGACCATCGTTTGGGATTATGGGTGTTTGACCACCGTTTGGGACCATGCGGGTGTTGCGGGTGTTTGGGACTGTGGGTGTTTGGGACCCACCGTTTGGGGCTGTGGGTGTCTGGGACCAGTTGTTTGGGAGTTCGGGACCAGCTGTTTGGGACCACCGTGTTTGGGATTTGGGACCGGTTGGCTGGGACCACCATGGGATCATGGGTGTGGGGTGTTTGGGACCAATTGTTTGGGACCATGAGAGTTTTGGACCGGCTGGACCATGGGTGTTTGGGGTTTGGGACCATGGGTGTTTGGGACCAACTTGGACCACTGTGTTGGGATTATGGGTGTTTGGGACCATGGGTGTTTGGGACCACTGTTTGGGCATGGGTGTTTTGGACCATCGGTGTCTCAAACCAGCCCCTTGGGCACTGACAAAATGCGCACAAATTTCCACTCTACACTGAAGCAAAGCGGCTGTGACAACACAGAAAAGGAGGAAGAAATCCTGCCCAACTACAAGCTCACAACGATCCTGAGGAGCCATCGCAACCCCATCTCCCAGTGACAAACCCATATGATTGTTGCTTTTTGTCTGTCTAAAAACAACGGCTGTTTTTCTGCTGTTTCATGGTCTTTTGCGCTGCTTTCTGCCTTCGTGTGCCCTGAAGCCTCGCCCCGTTGACCCTTCACCCCCTTTATTTTTCTCTGATTCCCTGCGCATGCATCTATGCACTTCACTCTGTACTTGCCCTTGCATCTATGCGCTTGCCTCATACTTGCCCTACGCATGCCTCTATGCATTTCACTGTGCACTTTCCCTACGCATGCCTCTATGCATTTCACTGCCTACTTTCCCTATGCAGTTGTGAGCTGCGCAGAACGCAACGACGTTATCGGAAGAACTCTTCGCAATTTTCCGGGGAAAAAACACACGCAAGTGCAAACGCAAACGCGAACAGGAAGACAAGCACAGACACAAGCGCACACACACACACACACTTATAGAGCAAGGCGTACTTGCACATGTCAAAGCAACAAACCCGACATAGCCGCATGAACACTTTGAGAGAACCACAGCAAACAAACGACATCGGTCGAGTCAAAGCAGGTACAAGTGGTTGATCAGACCGCTCATCCACCAAAATGCCATAGCTTTGTTGGACTGGATAGGTGCCCCTGCAAGCACTTTCGTTCGTGATCCACTTGCTCGGAGGCCACAAGGGGAAGGTTCTTGATGTAATCACTGATGAAGTGTGCTTGCAGGGAGTGCAAGGAGAAACGATTGCAGAGATCACCAGCAAGACGCACAATCTGGAATCTGGCGTCCCAGATTGCATCACACTTCTCATCAGGCATCTTCGTTGGTCTGAGTCAGACACGCACAAACACAACACAACCAAAAAGCAGACGTGCAGAGACAACACACAAACCCAGCAACACGGAACAGACACAAAAAACAAACACACACACACACACAGAGAGACGTACAAAGAACAACACGTTGATCATTAGCGTGAAAGCGAACCGCTCGGCAAAACGCATTCACAGAGACAAACCTTGCCGTTGGGGGTCAGCTGCTTCAGACGCTGAGATCCGGACATCTGGGCGCTGCATCTTCATCTTGACAGCACCCTGAGGGAGGTTGGGAAGGGGATGGCCAATGCGGATGTGGATGTGGGACATCATCGCAGGATGGCCCGGCCAGCTGAAAGCGTTCCAGTTGACACGCGCTGCACAAAGAGGACCTTGAGCAGCTTGGGCGAGGAGACAGTCCAAAACATCAATGCCCTGGCTGTTAGTGAAAGATCCAAAACCGTGCCGCTCGGCCCTGCTCAGAAGGTCGTGGTTGGCTGCCATCCCGACCTTGCAGGAGACAACGCCCGGGACACGTGGCTGACCGTCCCCTCTTCAAACTCCGCGCCCCAAGGCAGCATGAAACACCAAACCCCAACCAGCTCCGAACCTTCCTTCAAAAACCGTTGAGATGGCCAGCAATGGCGCAGAACCACGCAAGTCACAAGACATCAACCCGGCCTCGCTCCAAGGCCCCCATTGGACGCTGAGCGTCCTGGCGCCAGAGCCAGAGTCGGAAGCGGAGACGAGCCCGTCCATGGCAGCGTTCGCGGCTGCGTAGGCGCACTGGCCCGGCGAGCCCAGCACCGCGGCGGAGGAGAACATCACCAGCCAGTCTGAAGGCTCGAGCTCAGGCAGCAGCAGCGCTGGGAGGATCTTCGGGCCGAAGGCGCGGCGCAACAGCTCCTCCGACTGGTTGGCGAGCATCGCATCTGCCAGGACGCCCGCCGCGTGCATCACCCCGTGGACCTCGCCCTTGTCCCGGATGGCCTGGATAGCGCTGCGCAACTCACCCGCCACGGACACATCGCAGCGAAGCCAATGAAGACGCCTGTCATCTTCCAAGTATCCAGGGCAGCTGCGCGAGAGCAGCGTCACCGAGGCAGCACCTCACACAAGCGCGGCCCCAGGCTCCCCCACCCTGACCCGGAGGAAGTAAGTGTGGTATATCATATCGGTGTGGGTCAAAACCCTGATACCCCCACATTCCCCCATAAGCATTATACAACATATGTTGCTTACAAAACAAACAATTATGATATTGAAAAGCAAGATGCAAACAAACTTGGGAAAATAAAAATCAGAATCCATTGCAACCACCTCCCTGCGGCAACGCCCGCCTCGGCCCAGGAGCCACTCGGCGCACACCCTGGCCAGAGAGCCGCTGCCGCCAGTGATGACGTAGCGGCCGTCCAGGCGCACACTGACCCCGGGCTGCCGGTCGGGGCGCCACCGCTCCAGCCGCGGCACCAGGATGCTCTCGGGGCTGACACGGCAGACGGGCTCGTCCGACACCGGCGGCAACTTCAGGTCAGAGTGCTCCGCTAAGGCTGCCTCCACCTCTGCCCAGGAGCTCGCGGGCAAATGCACCACCTGCCCATGCGCACTCAAACAACAACAAGCTTCCCGGACGCCGGGAACAAACCGACTGACCTCACCAATCCTCAAACGCATCTTTCCAGTTGATTTGGCTGGCGCTGGCTTCGCCCTGCCAACCATGCGACTGCGACCCGGAAACAAGCAACTCAGAGCTTGGACAGTGTTGCGAATATCCCTCTGTGCTACGTGCGACCTGTGGCACTGCGCATGAACAAACTCCTCCCAGCAAGAACAAACAAAACAAGGGGAAACCCGAGCAACGAAAAAAAACTGCGGGGAAGAACAGGTACGCTTCACAGCCCTTGGTACGGCAGCAACAAAATCAAAAAAAAATCAGAGCCCCTGTCTAAAAATGAACCCCCGTTCGCGTTGGGCCGTTTGGAAACCTAAAAGGCTGGGTGTTTATGAAGGCGTGGTTTGGCTTGCCACATGTTTCACCGCCCCTTTTGGGGGGATTAGGGTTTTCAGAAACGAACTCTTACCCGCCTGCACATGCAGGTCCTGCTCACACTGCGCGCTCCGCAGCATGCCGACGGCGGCACCAAAGGACGCCTCTGCCAGCTGGCCGCTGCCAGCGATCAGCAAACGCCAGGCGCCGGGGTTGCTCACCCCCGGCTGCCTTTGCTCCATAGCTGCCTGCTGTAAGGTCTCCAGTATCTTCGCTGCGCACTGAATCAGAACTGCGGCATCCTCCTCAGCACTCTCTTGGTTCCAGCACTGCAGGGCCAGCAGCCTCAGTCCATCTCCGACCCCATGCCTGAAACGTGCATCATCAGAATCCAGCAGCTGGAGGCTAGATGAGCCAGAGGCTACCGCGGCGCATCGCAGCCAACTCGCTTTGTAGAGATCGCGGTCAAGAGAGATTTGCTGCGGTGAGTTCAGCGTCCGGGCAACGATGCCCTCAAAGAACGCCACGGCTCTTCCTGCCTCCGTGGCCACTGTGACATTGCCTTCCAAGAGTCCCTCTCTCACGATTGTGACTTTGGCATAAGCTCTCAGCTGCTGGTTGCTCAGGGGCACTTCGCTGAGCCAGCACCTCTCCAAAGTGAAGGGCAAGCACACACCTGCGCGGTCATGGCACAAAACTCCGAGCAGCTGGATAGCACCGTCCAATAAACTCCAGTGCGGCAGCCGCAAGGCGTATTCCCACGGCTCAGCGCAAGGCGGCAACTGCAGCTTGGCAGCGGCTGCGCCACTGCCACGGCGGACATCCTCTAGCACACGGAAACGCGGGCCCATGCGCACACCCTTGCCCTCCAACTCTGCGTAGAAGCTCTGCAAATCCACGTGGCACGCGCAGTCGACATTATTGATGTCCGGGCGATCTGGCATGGGCTGGCAGCCAACTGCTCTTGCCTCCGCAGTGGATTCGCCGCCACACTCCACCACAGCCGAGGCCTGTCCTGGGAGCGCTGCAACGAACCGAATCATCACCACAGAGTCGTCAGAGATCTTAGTTGGACGAAGGAAGCGCAGCCCTTCCAAACACACTCCACCCTGGAAGCCGTTGATCTCCACCCATGCGCCAGCAAGCATAGTCAGCAAGCAGGTGGCCGGAAGCAGCACATCTCCTGCCGGACCGGAGTGCTGCAAAACGAGAAAACCCCTCGCCTGGCACATCAACAGAACAAGGTACTCAAGTAGAAATTCAACAACTAATTCGCTCTAGAAAAGTTTGTATCGCGGCAGCTAACAAGGTCAACATCAATCAGTAAAGGTTCAGGTGTGGGTTGTGACAACATTCTGTTCAGTTTCAAGTGCGGGTGGAGAGGCTGAAGTCGACCCTGATGGCAGATCTTCTGGGCCCGAAAAAGTCAAGCTCTGCCCGCAGCTTGTCAAGACACCTGAATGGCATTGTGTCCCACCTGTGTTTGTGCGTATTGTTATTTTGCGCCAGCATGTGTGCAGCGGTCGTGGGTGGGCGTGTGAGTTATCATTTGTGCCACAATGCGTGCAGCGGTCATGGGCTGTATAATCATTTTTGCCAGTATGCATGCATTTGTGTCAACAGAACACTGGAAAATGGGTGGCCCGAAAGAATTTTCCATGACGCGCAGCCTGAGTCGGTCCATTTGTTCTAACTATGTATTTCACTTTGTGCACGCAATCATGCACTTCACTCTGTGCTTGCCTTCGGCGTGCCTCTACGCGTTTCACTGTTTACTTTCCCTCCGCACGCCTCTACGCAATTCACTGCCTACCTTCCCTGCGCATGCATGCGTGCGCAGGGAAAGCAGACAGTCTATTACACAGAGTCATGCGCAGGGAAAGTAGACAGTGAAATGCATAGAGGCATGCGTAGGAAAGTAGACAATGAAATGCGTAGGGCAACTACAGAGTGAAATGCATAGATGGCATGCGCAGGGAAAAAGTAGACACAGTGAAGCGCATAGATCTATGCACTTCAGTCTGTACTTGCCTTACGCATGCCTGTATGAATTTCACTGTGCATTTCACTGTCTACTTTCCGTGCGCATGCCTCCACGCATTCCATTTCCACTTTCCCTGTGCATGCATCTATGCACTTCACTCCGCACTTGCTCTGCGCAGCCTCTATGCGTTTCACTGTCTACTTTCCCTGCGCATGCCTCTATGTATTTCACTGTCTACTTTCCCTGCGCATGCATCTATGCACTTCACTCTGTACTTGCCCTATGCATGCCTCTATGCATTTCACGGTCGGTTATCCCTGCACATGCCTCTATGCGTTTCACTGGCAACTTTCCCTGCGCATGCATCTATGCACTTACTCTGCGCATGCCCCTGTGCAGTTCACTGTCTGCTTTCCCTGCGCATGCATCTACGCGCCTCACTCTGTACTCATGCTCTACTCCGTGCGTGTCACCATTCACTTCACTGTCTACTTTCCCTGCGCATGCCTCTATGTATTTCACTGTCTACTTTCCCTGCGCATGCATCTACGCGCCTCACTCTGTACTCATGCTCTACTCCGTGCGTGTCACCATTCACTTCACTGTCTACTTTCCCTGCGCATGCCTCTATGCGTTTCACTGCCTGCCTTCCGACTTTGCAGCCGGAGCCTCGGGACGTACTTCGCGTACGACTTAAACGTTACGACTTTGCAGCCGGAGCTGCGGGGACGTACTTTGCGCGCTACTTTTGTACGTAAAAAAGCGACTTTGCAGCCTGATCCCTGCAGACGGCCGCGCGCAAACCGCGAAGATATGCGAAGATTCACACGAGACCACAGCGAGAGCCATCTGACACGCACAATCTCCGCACAAGGTCGCGCGTGAACCGAAGACATTCGCGCGGGGCCCTTGCGAGAGCGATCGCAGGATCCACGCAGAGGGTTGCGCGCGTAGAACAGAAAACGCGAAAAACAACTCAAAGTTTTGCTCTTCGACTACGCCGGTCCCCGCAGAGGGTTGCGCGCGCACCACAAGAAGCAAAACAAAAAGTGCTTCAGTTTTCGCACATCGCCTCTACGCGCTTCACCGTCTATTTTTCCTGCGCATGCCTCTATGCGTTTCGCCGTCTACTTTCCTTGCGCATGCATCTATGCTTTTGCCTCAGTACTTGCCCTACACACTCCTCTATGCAGTTCATTGTCTACTTTCCCTGCGCATGCCTCTATGCATTTCACTGTCTGCTACCTTCCTTACACATGCATCTATGCACTTGCCTCAGCACTTGCCCTATGCGTGCCTCTACGCATTTCACTTTCTACTTTCCCTGCGCATGCCATCTATGCATTTCACTCTGTAGTTGCCCTACGCATTTCACTGTCTACTTTCCTACGCATGCCTCTATGCATTTCACTGTCTACTTTCCCTATGCAGTTGAGCTGTGCAGAACGCAACGACTTTACTGGAAGAACCCTTCGCAATGCTTTCGGGAAAAATACACAAATAGAAATTCAACAACTAATTCGTTTGAGAAAGTTTGTACCGCGGCAGCTAACAAGGTCAACATCAGTCAGTAAAGGTTCAGGTGTGGGCTGCGACAACATGCTATTCAGTTTCAAGTGCGGGTGGAAGCTGACATTGACCCTGATGGCAGATCTTCTGAGCCCGACAAAGTCAGGCTCCGCACGCTGCTTGGCAAAGACACCTGAATGGCAGTGTGTCCCACCTGTGTTTGTGTGTGTGTGTGATATTATTTGCGCCAGCAGCGTGGGCGTGCATTATCAGTTCCAGTTACCTGGACGCGCGCCGTCGCGGGCGTGTGCTTTCTCATTTGTGCCAGCATGCAGTGCAGTTGTGGATGTGCGTGGCTGTGTGTGTGTTACCGCATGCGCAGCTTCGACTCGTGTGAAGACTCCAGTAGCGGACAAATGACAAAAAGCATGAACATGCGCGAAACCTCAAAACTCCAATGCTGCTGCAGTCCTCCAATGCTGTGGTCAACAAACAGGTCTCTGCATTGCTGAAGCCGGAACACGGATCCATCTTGGCGAGCCAAAGGAGGACAAAGCAAGCGCCGCCAGGGAAGGAACACCTTGGGGCCCAGGACCGGCGCGTTGAACGCTCTTCGTGGGTCTGCCTCCAGCTGCTGGAGCAGGACCTGCGCGTTGCTGCCTCCGAAGCCGAAGGAGGACACAGCGCCCAGCTGAGCCCGGCAGGCCATCAGGGCGTCGGGGAAGAGGCTGCTGTCATTGAGCTCTCTCAAATGGGCGTTGAGCTGGCGGATGTGCAGGTTGGGCATGGCCACACGGCGGCGCAGAGTGGTCATCAGCTTGAACAACCCGGCCATGCCGGCAGAGCCTTCAAGGTGCCCCATGTTGGTCTTGACAGCGCCCAAAACCAGGCACGCGGAGTTTATAGCAGACTGCTCAGACCTGGAGAACACAGCCAATGTGGACTGCGCCTCGATGGGGTCGCCCAGTTTGGTGCCCGTGCCATGCAACTCCACAAAGCCCACGTCTGCGCCCTTCGCGCTTGCCATGCGCAAGGCCTCCCGCATGAGCTCCTGCTGAGCAGGCCCACTCGGCGCTGTCAAGCTGGCGCTGCGCCCATTGTGGTTGGTTGCCGTGGCTGGCACAGCCGCGGCTGCCACACCTGCCAGCGACTGGAGTTGAATCACTGCACTACAAGCCAAACCCAACGTCTGTTCTGCCCGCCCGAACCCTCCCAGACCTCGCCTGCGTCCCGAGCGGCACGCTGCAAGACCAGTGCTGCCACTCCTTCCCCGCGGCAGTAGCCGTCAGCCGAGGAGTCCAAGGTGCGGCACCGGCCGCTCTGTGACAACATGCCTGCCGCGCATGATCCGATGAAGGGCAGCGCGCTCATCATCACGTGCGTGGCGCCCACAAGCGCGGCGTCGCTGCGGCTTTGGGCCACGACCAACGCTACCAGGCTGGACGAGCAGGCAGTGTCGACGGTCATGCTGAGCCCTTTCAGCTGAAAGTGGAAGCTGATGCGGTTGCTCGTGATGGCAGGCGATAGGCCGGTGCCAATGAAAGGTGTTCCGGGGTGGTTTTGTAGCGGCCAGTCATGATTAGCCTGTCCAACAACAACTGCAGCAGACTTCTCCACTGCCTCGCAGCCTGCGCAAGCTGCTGCCTGCAAAAGCAACCGCTGCTGCGGGTCCATGGCGCTTGCTTCTGGGATGCTGATCTTGAAATAGGTAGCGTCAAACCACTCCACACCATCCATGCACGCAGCATGTTGTGTGTAGGACATGCCAGCAGACCCAGCTTCAGGACCATACCAAGAGTCAAGGTCCATGCGCAAGGTTGGTACCTCCACAACACAATCCCGGCCACCGCAAAGAACATCGGCGATGGAAACGCCAGGCAGCTGGCAGCAGGCTCCGGCCACTACCATGGCCGCCCGCGGTGTAGCAACTGGCAAGTTGGGCGGCGCAGCCCCGCGAACGTGGGCGCCAGCTTGTTGAGCCAGCTGGTCCGCCATCGATCCCAGTGTTGGAAAATCAAAAAGCCAAGTTGACGGAAGCTTCGCGCCGATTTCTTTGGAGACGCGGTTGGCAAGCTCCACTGCCAAAAGTGAGTCCACTCCGGCATCCATCAGGGGCTGATTGGGGTCCAGCTCATGGCCCAGCATGTCCGTGGCAAGTCGCTGGAGCAGTGCCAACGCCTCAGTTGTTCAGAATTTAAGGTTCCTCAACTAGTCAGCCCTTTTTTTGAACGGTGCTCGGCTCATCTCGGCTCAACTCTGCACGTGGCTGTTTGCTTGGACCCTCTCCTGGTACCAAGTTCCTGAACTTGAAGCTTGGGTGCCCCACACGCGGATGGGCCATACACAAACTCGCGGCATACAGTTACATTCACAGACAGCCAACAATTCGGCAAAACAGCCTTTGCGGAAAAATAGAAGCGGGGTCATACAGCTGCTTCAGATGCTGAGATCCAGACATCTGGGCGCTGCATCTTCATCTTGACAGCACCCTGAGGGAGGTTGGGAAGGGGATGGCCAATGCGGATGTGGATGTGGGACATCATCACAGGATGGCCCGGCCAGCTGAAAGCATTCCAGTTGACACGCGCTGCACAAAGAGGACCTTGAGCAGCTTGGGCGAGGAGACAGTCCAAAACATCAATGCCCTGGCTGTTAGTGAAAGATCCAAAGCCGTGCCGCTCGACCCTGCTCAGAAGGTCGTGGTTGGCTGCCATCCCGACCTTGCAGGAGACAACGCCCGGGACACGTGGCTGACCGTCCCCTCTTCAAACTCCGCGCCCCAAGGCAGCATGAAACACCAAACCAAACCCCAACCAGCTCCGAACCTTCCTTCAAAAACCGTTGAGATGGCCAGCAATGTCGCAGAACCACGCAAGTCACAAGACATCAACCCGGCCTCGCTCCAAGGCCCCCATTGGACGCTGAGCATCCTGGCGCCAGAGCCAGAGTCGGAAGCGGAGACGAGCCCGTCCATGGCAGCGTTCGCGGCCGCGTAGGCGCACTGGCCCGGCGAGCCCAGCACCGCGGCGGAGGAGAACATCACCAGCCAGTCTGAAGGCTCGAGCTCAGGCAGCAGCAGCGCTGGGAGGATCTTCGGGCCGAAGGCGCGGCGCAACAGCTCCTTCGACTGGTTGGCGAGCATCGCATCTGCCAGGACGCCCGCCGCGTGCATCACCCCGTGGACCTCGCCCTTGTCCCGGATGGCCTGGATAGCGCTGCGCAACTCACCCGCCACGGACACATCGCAGCGAAGCCAATGAAGACGCCTGTCATCTTCCAAGTATCCCGGGCAGCTGCGCGAGAGCAGTGTCACCGAGGCAGCACCTCACACAAGCGCGGCCCCAGGCTCCCCCACCCTGACCCGGAGGAAGTAAGTGTGGTATATCATATCGGTGTGGGTCAAAACCCTGATACCCCCTACATTCCCCCATAAGCATTATACAAAATATGTTGCTTACAAAACAAACAATTATGATATTGAAAAGCAAGATGCAAACAAACTTGGGAAAATAAAATCAGAATCCATTGCAACCACCTCCCTACGGCAACGCCCGCCTCGGCCCAGGAGCCACTCGGCGCACACCCTGGCCAAAGAGCCGCTGCCGCCAGTGATGACGTAGCGGCCGTCCAGGCGCACACTGACCCCGGGCTGCCGGTCGGGGCGCCACCGCTCCAGCCGCGGCACCAGGATGCTCTCTTGGCTGACGCGGCAGACGGGCTCGTCCGACACCGGCGGCAACTTCAGGTCAGAGTGCTCCGCTAAGGCTGCCTCCACCTCTGCCCAGGAGCTCGCGGGCAAATGCACCACCTGCCCATGCGCACTCAAACAACAACAAGCTTCCCGGACGCCGGGAACAAACCGACTGACCTCACCAATCCTCAAACGCATCTTTCCAATTGGCGCTGGCCTCCCGGAAAGCAACTCAGAGCTTGGACAGTGACGTGCTACCTGTGGCACTGCGTATGAACAAACTGCTCCCAGCAAGAACAAACAAAAATACACCAGCATAGCCCCAAATAGCGAAATCCGTGCCAAGGGCCTGAACAAGAATTCCCAAATTGCATGCCCCAGCACCTTGCCGTCAACCGCAAAAACACACCTTGCTGTCACCACGCCCCCCAAAACAGCCTGTGTCAGCACCAAACTGCCTGCCCCCTAGCCCCGCGTCAATCGCGCGGCACGGGCGCACTAGCACCCTGCATCCCCCAGCACCCCATCAATCGGCACCCCGAACAGCAGCGCCAGAACTTCGCCAGCACCCCAGACTTATACCCTCCCGTCAATCTTAAAAAGTGCGCCAGCAACGTCACCTGACACACAACCGTCAATCTTGCAACATGTGCCCGCGCCTTCAAACAGCACCCGAAACAGCACCTACACCAGCACCCCAAACTGCACGCCAATCTCGCAACTATAGCTTTCAGCTATCTGGGGAACAAGAACAAGCCGCAGGCAAACCCGAGCAACGAAAAAAAACTGCGGGGAAGAACAGGTACGCTTCACAGCCCTTGGTACGGCAGCAACAGAATCAAAAAAATCAGAGCCCCTGTCTAAAAATGAACAGAACCCCCCAAAAAAGAACACAATCAAACTTACCAACAGCAGCGAAGCACACTCCCCGTTCGCGTTTGGACCCGTTTGGAAAATTGAAACCTAAAAGGCTGGGTGTTTATGAAGGCGTGGTTTGGCTTGCCACATGTTTCGCCGCCCCTTTTGGGGGGATTGGGGTTTTCAGAAACGAACTCTTACCTGCCTGCACATGCAGGTCCTGCTCACACTGCGCGCTCCGCAGCATGCCGACGGCGGCACCAAAGGACGCCTCTGCCAGCTGGCCGCTGCCAGCGATCAGCAAACGCCAGGCGCCGGGGTTGCTCACCCCCGGCTGCCTTTGCTCCATAGCTGCCTGCTGTAAGGTCTCCAGTATCTTCGCTGCGCACTGAATCAGAACTGCGGCATCCTCCTCAGCACTCTCTTGGTTCCAGCACTGCAGGGCCAGCAGCCTCAGTCCATCTCCGACCCCATGCCTGAAACGTGCATCATCAGAATCCAGCAGCTGGAGGCTAGATGAGCCAGAGGCTACCGCGGCGCATCGCAGCCAACTCGCTTTGTAAAGATCGCGGTCAAGAGAAATTTGCTGCGGTGAGTTCAGCGTCCGGGCAACGATGCCCTCAAAGAACGCCACGGCTCTTCCTGCCTCCGTGGCCACTGTGACATTGCCTTCCAAGAGTCCCTCTCTCACGATTGTGACTTTGGCATAAGCTCTCAGCTGCTGGTTGCTCAGGGGCACTTCGCTGAGCCAGCACCTCTCCAAAGTGAAGGGCAAGCACACACCTGCGCGGTCATGGCACAAAACTCCGAGCAGCTGGATAGCACCGTCCAATAAACTCCAGTGCGGCAGCCGCAAGGCGTATTCCCACGGCTCAGCGCAAGGCGGCAACTGCAGCTTGGCAGCGGCTGCGCCACTGCCACGGCGGACATCCTCTAGCACACGGAACCGCGGGCCCATGCGCACACCCTTGCCCTCCAACTCTGCGTAGAAGCTCTGCAAATCCACGTGGCACGCGCAGTCGACGTTATTGATGTCCGGGCGATCTGGCATGGGCTGGCAGCCAACTGCTCTTGCCTCCGCAGTGGATTCGCCGCCACACTCCACCACAGCCGAGGCCTGTCCTGGGAGCGCTGCAACGAACCGAATCATCACCACAGAGTCGTCAGAGATCTTAGTTGGACGAAGGAAGCGCAGCCCTTCCAAACACACTCCACCCTGGAAGCCGTTGATCTCCACCCATGCGCCAGCAAGCATAGTCAGCAAGCAGGTGGCCGGAAGCAGCACATCTCCTGCCGGACCGGAGTGCTGCAAAACGAGAAAACCCCTCGCCTGGCACATCAACAGAACAAGGTACTCAAGTAGAAATTCAACAACTAATTCGCTCTAGAAAAGTTTGTATCGCGGCAGCTAACAAGGTCAACATCAATCAGTAAAGGTTCAGGTGTGGGTTGTGACAACATTCTGTTCAGTTTCAAGTGCGGGTGGAGAGGCTGAAGTCGACCCTGATGGCAGATCTTCTGGGCCCGAACTGCTTGTGTGTGTGTGTGTTATCATTTGCGCCAGCATGCGTGCAGCGGTCGTGGATGAGCGTGGGCGCGTGAAGTATCATTTGTGCCGGCATGCGTGCAGCGGTCGTGGACTTAACTTTCATTTGCGCCAGTAGGCATGCAGGGAGGTGCGTGGGCGTGCGAATTCTCATTTGTGCCAGGATGCGCGTAGCGGTCGTTGATGCGCGTGGGCGTCTGAATTATCATTTGCGCCAGCATGCGTGCAGCGAGCGTGGGCGTGTGAGTTATCATTTGCGCCAGCATGCGTGCAGCGAGCGTGGATGCACGCGGGCGTCTGTATTGCAAGCACGCATGCAGCGGCCGTGGATGCGCGTGGGCGTGTAGTATCAGTTCCAGCACCTGGACGTGCGAGGTCGCGGGCGTGCGCTTCCTCATTTGTGCCAGCATGCAGTGCAGTTGTGGATGTGCGTGGCTGTGTGTTACCACATGCGCAGCTTCGACTCATGTGAAGACTCCAGTAGCGGACAAATGACAAAAAACACATGAACATGCGCGAAACCTCAAAACTCCAATGCTGCTGCAGTCCTCCAATGCTGTGGTCAACAAACAGGTCTCTGCATTGCTGAAGCCGGAACACGGATCCATCTTGGCGAGCCAAAGGAGGACAAAGCAAGCGCCGCCAGGGAAGGAACACCTTGGCGCCCAGGACCGGCGCGTTGAACGCGCTTCGTGGGTCTGCCTCCAGCTGCTGGAGCAGGACCTGCGCGTTGCTGCCTCCGAAGCCGAAGGAGGACACAGCGCCCAGCTGAGCCCGGCAGGCCATCAGGGCGTCGGGGAAGAGGCTGCTGTCATTGAGCTCTCTCAAATGGGCGTTGAGCTGGCGGATGTGCAGGTTGGGCATGGCCACACGGCGGCGCAGAGTGGTCATCAGCTTGAACAACCCGGCCATGCCGGCAGAGCCTTCAAGGTGCCCCATGTTGGTCTTGACAGCGCCCAAAACCAGGCACGCGGAGTTTATAGCAGACTGCTCAGACCTGGAGAACACAGCCAATGTGGACTGCGCCTCGATGGGGTCGCCCAGTTTGGTGCCCGTGCCATGCAACTCCACACAGCCCACGTCTGCGCCCTTCGCGCTTGCCACGCGCAAGGCCTCCCGCATGAGCTCCTGCTGAGCAGGCCCGCTCGGCGCTGTCAAGCTGGCGCTGCGCCCATTGTGGTTGGTTGCCGTGGCTGGCACAGCCGCGGCTGCCACACCTGCCAGCGACTGGAGTTGATCCAAAACCCAAAATCAGCGCGCGACGTTGACATGCTGAGGCGGCTTGTCAAGCGGAGATGCCAAAACATCATGTGTTGGGCAATTTGATAGAGTATGCAATCCGGACATGAGGGACTCAAAATGTCCCAGAACCGTATTGTCCGAGTCAAAGCATGGAGGGCACTCCTCTCCAAAAAGCCCGCGCTTGGCAAACCCTTCAGCTGAAGCTGAACTGTCAACTAGGGCCCTGCTACCCTTCCCCGTTCTCTGAACACCGTGCTTCGTATTTGGGAAACGTTCTGTTTCCTGAACCTTGCCTGCGTCCCCAGCAGCAGGCTGCAAAACCAGTGCTGCCACTCCTTCCCCACGGCAGTAGCCGTCAGCCGAGGCGTCCAAGGTGCGGCACCGGCCGCTCTGTGACAGCGCTTTCGTGCTGCAAGCAGCCCGAAACATGCCTGGGTCTGCAAAAACATGGGTGCCCCCAACCAGTGCCCGTGAACACTTCTCCAGGTCAAGAGCGTTCCGCGCTTGGGAGAAGGCGACCAAGCTTGAGGAGCACGCTGTGTCAACCGAAGCGCTCGGGCCGAGCAGGTTGAAGACATAGTTCACCCGGTTGGCCGAGATGGCGGGGGAACTCCCTCCTGCAGAGAAGGGACATGCCTCCCAGCCACGTAGCGAGAGCCAGTCATGATTCGCCTGGCCAATCCAGACACCCGTCTCTTTTTCGCATGCCTGCAAAACCATGCACGCCTGCTGCAAGAGCAGCCGCTGCTGAGGATCCATGACCCAGGCTTCCGCTGCTTTGATGCCGAAGTGCTGATGGTCGAACCACTCCACCTCCGCCATGCAGGCTCCGTGTTTGGTGTAGATCTGTGAGCTCTCCAGGTCCATCCGTGAGAATGGGATCTGGGTCACGGCGTCGACCAGCAAGGCGCTGGCTCCTCTTGCGCTCGGCAGGTCGCAGGCCATGCAAGCAACTTCCAGGCTGATCTTAGGCGGTGGGCGCAAGTCAGCCTCCAGCAACTTGGGCCCGTGCATGGCAAGCTGTCCCAAGTGCTGGGCAAGCGCTTTGGCATGTGAGTCAGACAAGAACTCGAAGTGGTCTGCATCCACGGGTACCGTTGAAAGGCCATGCGGAAAAATGCAGCGCACCCTTTCCCGAACTTCTTCATCATTCTGGAAGCCTTCTGCTGCGGGTGCTTTGAAGCCATCGCCATGGTAGGATCCGAGCCTTGCCAAGATATGAATGCCAGGAATCGGAAGCTTGGGCGCCTCCATTCTGCTGCAAAGCGTTTCATACCACAACGGGTCACGAGGCAAGGCGGCCGTCGAGTATGGGGGCAGGTTGCGAGGGTCGAACACGATGATGCCCAGGGCCCCCTTGGCATACCGAACGCGAAGCAGCTCAAGCGCAACAGTTGCGCCAAAGGACAGGCCGCCGAGCATGAAGGGCTGCCCTCCCGATCTCGTGCCCAGCGAAGGCCCCAGTTCTTCAAGGATGTCCTTCATTGACACGCCACGCCTTCTGGGCGGCATTGCTGCAAACACCCTCCCAGGGTAAAAGGACGCAAACTCCCCAAATGATTTGCGCACGTCCCCGGCAGCGCCGCCAATCAGGAACAGGGTCAAGCAACCCTTGCGATCCGGCGCGCCTGGCAGCTCCGCCCAGGTCATCGGACCGTCCGCGGCAGTGGACTTAAGGTTCAGATCCGTGTCATTTCTCAGGCTGTCACCTATGCAGTGGGCAAGCTGCTTGATAGTCGGATGATTAATTACTGTCCCTTGAAGCAGGCGGATGTTGAAGGTCTTCTGCAGCGCTGCATGGAGCTCCTCAGTCTCCAGAGATTCCAACCCTTCGAGAATTGGGGCCGAGTCCCCAAGTTCTTGCAATGGGCCCCCGCAGCTTCTCTTGCTCACCAGCTCGGCAACGTGGGCCCGCACAATGCTGAGCACATCCAGGTCGGAGAATGTCTTGCTCTGTAAGACTTTGGGAGCCGGGGCAGCTGCGGGAACCTCTTCACTGCGATGGACGGCGCAAAGTACCCCTGTAGCTCCGCTGTCTAGCAGAAGCTCCAAAATGGCCAGGCCCATGTTGCGAGGCAAAGGGGCCCAGCCCCGCTCAGCAGCCCTGGCAAGGGCGCCCTTCACCTGCGTGGCCATGCCCTCCGTCCAAGGCCCCCATTGGACGCTGAGCATCCTGGCGCCAGAGCCAGAGTCGGAAGCGGAGACGAGCCCGTCCATGGCAGCGTTCGCGGCCGCGTAGGCGCACTGGCCCGGCGAGCCCAGCACCGCGGCGGAGGAGAACATCACCAGCCAGTCCGAAGGCTCGAGCTCAGGCAGCAGCAGCGCTGGGAGGATCTTCGGGCCGAAGGCGCGGCGCAACAGCTCCTCCGACTGGTTAACAAGCATCGCATCTGCCAGGACGCCCGCCGCATGCATCACCCCATGGACCTTCCCCTTTTCCCGGATGGCCTGGATAGCGTTGCGCAACTCACCCGCCACGGACACATCGCAGCGAAGCCAGTGAAGACGCCTGTCATGTTCCAAGTATCCAGGGCAGCTGCGAGAAAGCAGCGTCACCGCGGCAGCACCTAGGTGAACGGGGTGCAAAAACGCCATCAAGACGGGTGGCCCGAGAGCATTTGCCATGACGCGCAGCCTGAATCGGTCCATTGTCCATTCTTTCCGATGATGCATTTCACTGTCGACTTTGCGTATGTCTATGCACTTCAATCTGCGCTTGCCCGACGCATGCCTCTATGCACCTCACGCTGCCTACTTTCCCTGCGCATGCCTCTACGCATCCCACCGTCTACTTTCCCTGCGCGTGCCTCTATGCATTTCGCTGTCTACTTTGCCTGCGACTGCCTCTATGCATTTCGCTGTCTACTTTGCCTGCGCATGCCTCTATGCATCTCACTGTCTACTTTCCCTGCGCATGCCTCTGTGCGCTGTCTACGTTCCCTGCGCGTGCACTTGCCCTACGCATGCCTCTGTGCATTTCATTGTCTACTCTGCACTCTGCGCACGCCTCCATGCATTTCACTGTCTACTTTCCCTGCGCATGCGTTTATGCATTTCACTGTCTACTTTCCCTGCGCGTGCCTCTATACATTTCATTGCCTAGTTTCCCTGCGCATGCCTCTATGCACTTCACTCTGTACTTGCCCTGCGCATGCCTCTACGCATCCCACCGTCTACTTTCCCTGCGCATGCCTCTATGCATTTCACTGTCTACTTTCCCTGCGCACGCCTCTATGCATTTCACTTTCTACGTTCCCTGCGCGTGTGTCTACGCACTTCACTCTGCGCTTGCCCTATGCATGCCTCGACGCATTTCGTTGTCTACTCTGCGCGTGCCTCCATGCATTTCACTGTCTACTTTCCCTGCGCATGCATCTAATGTTACACCTCCTATAGTAATAGTCCACGCTATTGTAGCAAATTTTGTCGTAATTCAGGATTTTGTGGCTGCTTTGGGGTCTTCAACTGCAGCAAATGTTTCCCCGAAAAAAACATGTTTTGTTGTTTGCTCTGGGACTAAGCCTCCGAAGAAATATGGGCCAAATAAACTTGGCAAAGAAATCGAGCAAAGAAAGCCGGGCAAACAAGATTCTTTGAAGTGGTCCCCAAACCATCAAATTCAAGATATCTTCTTTACAAAAAGATACGGGCAAACAGTCAGGGGGTCCACAAGGGGCCCTGAGCCTCTTTAAATGTGACTGTTTTGGGGTCCTCTTTAGTGTCTAACCTGTTTGGTGGTTGCTGAAAAAAACAGTCCTTGGCAATACTAAAGTAGAATTGGCAATGCTAAAGTAAGTACTGGAATCTGAGGGTCAGCCTTGGCAATACTCAAGTAGAATAGGCAAGACTAAAGTAAGCACTGGGAATCTGAGGGTCAGCCTTGGCAAAACTAAAGTAGAATATTACTAGGAATCTGAGGGTCAGCCTTGGCAATACTAAAGTAGAATTGGCAATGCTAAAGTAAGCACTGGGAATCTGAGGGGAAGCCTTGGCAATACTAAAGTAGAATTGGCAATACTAAAGTAAGTACTGGAAATCTGAGGGTCAGCCTTGGCAATACTAAAGTAGAATTGGCAATACTAAAGTAAGTAACTACTGGGAATCTGAGGGTCGGCCTTGACAATACTAACATAGAATTTGCAATACTAAAGTAAGTAGTGTCCCTCCCAGACCCAGGATCTCGCTTAAAGAGGGTCCAGCTGATTGGTTCCACTCCTAGCGAGGGGGGGGGGTGTAAACAGGGTCCAACATTATGCGTTTCACTGTCTACTTTCCCTGCGCATGCCTCTATACATTTCGTTGCTTACTTTCCCTGCGCATGCCTCTATGCACTTCGCTCTGTACTTGGCCTCTACGCATTCCACCGTCTACTCTGCGCATGCCTCTATGCGGTTCACCATCTTCTTTCCCTGTACGTGCATCTATGCACTTCACTCCGTGCTTGCCCTATGCATGTCTCTATGCATTTCACTGTCTACTCTGCGCACGCCACTGTGCATTTCAGTCCGTACTTCCCCTGCGCATGCCTGCATGCATTCCACTGCGCACTCTCCCGGCGCACGCCTCTGTGCGCTTCACTCGCGCTTACCCTACGAATGCCTGTATGCGCTTTCCACTTGCCCTATGCATGCCACTATGCATTTCACTGTCTACTTTCCCTGCACATGCCCTACGCGTTTCACTGCGCACTTTCTCTTCGCATGCCTCTATGCGTACACTTTCCCTGCCTGTGCATGCCTCTACGCATTTCACCGCGAACTCTCCCTACGCATGCCTCTATGCGCTTTCACTGCGCGCTTGCTCTGCGCATGCCTCTATGCGTTGCACTGTCTACTTTCCGACCTTGTGCAGCCGGAGCTGCGGAGCTGCGAGGACGTGCTTTGCGTACTACTTTTGTACTTTAAAGTTGCGACTTTGCAGCCTGATCCCTGCAGACCATCGCGCGCAGACCGCGAAAATATGCGAAGATTCACACGGGACCACAGCGAGGGCGATCTGACACGCACGATCCCCACAGAGCGTCACGCGCGCACAGCAGGAATCGCAAAAAAAACCCTGTTCTTGCACCTCGACCACGCCGATCCGCGCAGAGGGTCGCACGCGCACCTCAAGACTCGACAAACAAAAAAATGTGACATCGACCAGGCCGATCCCCGCAGAGGGTCGTGCGGGCACGTTGGAAATCGCCAAAAAACCATCAGTTTTTGCACCTCGACCACGCGAGCGTGTTGCAAATCGCAAAAAAAACCTCGGTTTCTTGCACCTCAAGGTTGCGCGGGCATGTTGAAGATCGGAAAAAGCCTCGATCCCCGCAGAGGGACACGCGCGCACGGCAAGAATCGCAAAAACCCTCAATTTTTGCACATCGACCACGCCGATCCCTGAGAGGGTCGCATTTTTGCAGAGTGCACTTGGTCCCACCGCGCCTCCTTAAGATACTAGTTTTAAGAAAGCGTGCAAGTTTCCTCGTGTAAGTTATGTTCGTGCGAGAAGGTATGCAAGATCGCTACTCATTTCACTGTGTACCTTCCCTACGCGTGCCTCGATGCATTTCACTGCTACTTTCGTGGCGCGTGCCTCTATGCATTTCACTGTCTGCGTTCCCTGCGCATGCCTCTATGTGTTTCACTGTCTAATTGCCCTGCGCGCGCATCTATGCATTTTGGTCTGCACTTGCCCTACGCATGCTATATGCATTTCACTGTCTACTTTCCCTGCAGTTTGTGTACATCGCACTGTCTACTTTCCCTGCCGCCATGCGTTGCACTGGCTTTCCCTGCGCATGCATCCACGCACTTGCCTCAGTACTTGCCCTACGCATGCCTCTATGCATTTCACTGTCTACTTTCCCTGCGCATGCCGCTATGCATCACTGTTTACTTTCCCTATGCAGTTGAGCTGCGCAAAGCGCAACGACTTTACCGAAAGAACGCTTCGCAACGCTTTTGGGCAAAAAGCGTTTGCGACCCCGGCCTCGGCCCAGGAGCCATTCGGCGCACACCCTGGCCAGAGCGCCGCTGCCGCCGGTGATGACGTAGCGGCCTCCCAGGCGCACGCTGACACCGGGCTGCCGGTCGGGGCGCCACCGCTCCAGCCGCGGCACCAGGACACCCTCAGGTCTGACCCGGCAAACGGGCTCTTCCGACACCGGCGGCAACTTCAGGCCAGAGTGCTCCGCTAAGGCTGCCTCCACCTCTGCCCAGGAGCTCGCGGGCAAGTGCACCACCTGCCCATGCGCACTGAAACAACAACAAGCTTCCCGGACGCTGAGAACAAACCGACCGATCTCACCAATTCTCAAACGCATCTTTCCAACTGGTTGGGCCGCGCCAACCAATGCGCTGACCTGTTTTGCGAATGTCACTGCTCTTCAACACCGTTGAAAACAATCAGCAAGCCGCGCATGAACAAGCCGCTCCCGCCAAGAACAAGCCGCAAGCAACCCTAAGCCGCACACAGCCGAAAAGATTGCCGGGTCATCCGCTGTTCCAACCCTCTGCCTGCACGCGAAGCTCCTGCTCACCCTGCGCACTCCGCAGCATGGAGGCGGCGGCTGCAAAGCACGCCTCTGCCGCTTGACCTCTACCAGCGACCAGCAGACGCCACGCGCCCGGCTCCTCGCCTGCCTTCTGCAAGGTTTTCAGAACAAAGGCTGAACATCTTTCGATGATTTGAAGTGACGTCTGCTGCTGCTCGCTGGGCCAGCAGGCCACAGCCAACAGCCTCGCATTGTCCTTGGCTGTGGCAAGGTCAGCCTGCAACAAGTCCAGCAACCCACGAAGCTGAGCAGCCCCAAATCTTATTCACATACCTGTGGCAAATGCTCCAACAGAATGTGTTTTGCACAAAACATGCGACAAACTTTGCCTCGTCAGGCCACATTCCCCCAAGCATTAGCAGCACATCAACCAATGCCAAGTCTCTGCCAACTCCGCCCTTGCCTGCCCCATGCTCGGCTTATACGTGCAAAGCTGAGCAGTGACCCGGCAAAGGCCATCCTTGAGCTCCATCCACTTGGTGCGCTGAACATCATGCTCAATCAGGGCAAAGTACTTCTTGGGCCCTGAGCGCAACGCAGCAGCTGCTGTGGACAAATCTTTCCAAGCTTTCTTGCCAGCTTCCACGGGCTGCATGGCTTCCAAAACTGCAAAGGCATTGCTGCCCCCGAAGCCGAACGAGGAAACGCTGGCCACATACCTGCTAGCAGCACAAGTCCACGGTGAAGTCGCTGACAAGTCCACAACCTCCAACACATGCTTGGCATCCTTTGCAAGCGCGACCTGGGTGGCTGTCACATAGCCGAACCCTTTTAGGGATGGCTTTAAAAGGAAATAATTTGAAAGGAAAATTGCCAATAGTGCGGGCTCAAACCACTTTTGACATCTACCCGCCTCATCATTGAGCTTGTACAAGTGCAGGTTGGGCGTGGCGGCAAGGCTCTGCAACAAGGCCACCTGCTTCATCAAGCCAGCGATGCCCGCGGCACCCTCCAGGTGCCCAAAGTGGGTCTTGAGGGCTTGTAGGACAAGACTCTCGCCCAGCATAGCCCTGACAGCCTCTGCCTCCAAGGGATCACCCAAGCGCGTGCCAGTGCCGTGGAGCTCATGGACAAGCACAGCGCAGCCATCCACGCCAGCTCGTCGGAGCCCCTCGCCAATCACCACCTTCTGAGCGTCAGACTTCGGCTTGGTGAGGCCCGCGCTGCGGCCGTTCTGGTTGGAGGCCGTCCCCAAAACCTGGCAGAGAGCAATGTCGGGGTCCAGCACCAGAAACATCGATGCCACACCCTCGCCCCGCACAAAGCCATCCGCACTCTGGTCAAAGGTGGCACAGCGGCCTTTGGGGGAAAGCATCTTGGCCTTGCAGGCATGGAGGTACATGTCAGGCGCAAGCAAGACATGCGTTCCCACAACCAGGGCGGCCCCTGGCCCGTCATTCATGGCCTGCATGGCCTGGTGCGCTGCAGTCAGACTGGCGGAGCAGGCCGTGTCAATGGTCATGCTGGGGCCTCTCAGGTCAAAGACAAAACTGATCCGATTGGCCGTGATGGACGGGGCAACGCCGGTGCTCCCATATGGCGCTGGCGCCTTGGAGGAGACCATCCAGTCATAATCCATCTGGCCAGCATAGACCCCAACTGAGCCCCGGGAAGGCCCGGTGGCCTGAGGTCCCATCGCCATGGCAGCCACCTGCAAGGCTAGGCGCTGCTGTGGGTCCATGGCTGCAACCTCATGCTCACTGAGGGGGAACGCATCAGAGTCGAACCACCCCAGAGAAGGGATGAAAGACCCATGCCTGGTGTACGTCTTCCCAATTTCCATGTCTGGGCTGAAATATTCGTCCACATCAAAGCGGAGCAAAGGCACGGTCGTCACGCAGTTGATGCCCTGGTGGAGCTCAAAAAAGCCGCCGGGCAGACACATGCCCACACCCTGCACCACGCTGCGCTGCCGCTTCGGCTGCAACGAGGGAAGCGCTTCCAGGACGGGTGACTCAACACCGCCGGCGCCAGCCGGATTGAGGAAGGCACGCGCCAGCGCGCGCACGGTGAAATGATCAAAGACGGCGTAGCTGGGCACGTTCACGCCAAAGGCTTTCAGGATCGCAATGTGGAGATCTCTGGCACGGAGAGAGTTCATCCCTGCCTCTGCCAGGTCTGCATCCATGGCAAGGTCCGGATTGCTCAGCACACCTTGGGTGATGCGCAAGAGCTCCTCAGCACTCGCCACGTGGACGGCACTCGCAAACTGCGCCTCCGGCGCCCTGCTCTCCAGGAGCTTCTGGCGGTCCACCTTGCCGTTGGCACCCTGCGGAAGGTTCTGGGCGGTGGACCAGGTCCTGGGGCGCATGTAGATCGGCAGCCGCTCCTTGAGGCCATCCTGCAGCATCTGCTTCAACTCCGCCATGTTCAGCTCTGGACACTGCCCGCAAAGGAAACCCCGAAGGATGACCCCTTGTCCCTTCTCAGCTGCCACGATAACTCGAACCTGCTTCGGCAAAATCTCGTGAGCAGCTGCCTCGATCTCGGCAAGCTCCACTCGGTAGCCATCCACCTTGACCTGCTGGTCCAGTCTGCCCATGATCTGAATCTCCCCACTGGGCAGATAGCAGCCCATGTCACCTGGCGATGCAAGAAACTCAAAAGCCCTTCTAAAAGATCTGTTTTCCAGAAGTTAACTTTCTTCTTGGATTCCAAAGAAAACATTCGCCCTGATTTTGACACATCCCCGCCTGTCTTGTACAATCGCCCATATTCTCTGTGCTCCAGAAAAGACTTGGCTGTCCGCTGCTGGTCTCGGAAGTACTCCTTCGCTACACCAGAGCCTCCAATGAAGATCTCCCCCGGCACATACGCAGGTCGGATGCGCATCTGGCTGTCCAAGACATACATCTGCTGATTGGTCAACGGCTTCCCATACAAAACCAAGGGCAGGTCAGGCGACGCCTCCGTGAACTCGTGGAAGTTGCTCCAAATGGATGCCTCAGTGGCTCCTCCCAGCGCGAGAAATTGTAGCGCGGGAAAGCGCCGCTTCACCTGGTGATGGGGAAGCAGACGGAGAGGGGGTTGCAAGCGGGGCGGGGGTCGAAACTCCGGATGTGAAGTCATTTGGGATCCGTATTTCATGGATGGCCAAAGCCTCCACTGAAGCACGCGCGCCGATTTTAGGGGCTCCAGGACCATCCTTATTGGGGACAGTTCAAAGTGGCCTTCCGCGCGAAGGAGGTCTGGATAGCGTCACCGCTGATAAGCGCTGCTCGGATAGGCATGAAATAGCTGTCACACCACTCGTCTACGAGAAGCTGAAACCGTAATGGCACGGAATTCCAGATTGTGACATGCTCCTTCGACACCACTTTGCAAAGGTTCAGGTAACGCTTGAGGTCATCTTGCTTGCACATTACAATGCATGCTCCAGCAGCAAGTGTGCCAAAAATGTCATAGACAGACAGATCGAAGTTGAGATTCGATAACGCCAGTACCTGAAAAATCATCTCACACGCATGGACTTGTGTTGGTGCCTTGCGAGTGCAGGCTCCCCCCTCAAAAGCACATCTACAGTAGCAGTTGCGTGTAGAAAGAAGTTGATCTACACGCCTGACAACTGTCTGAAGCCCTTTACAGGTGGGGCACTCGGTCATCCTTCGTGAGCTTCAGCAGGTGGCTCACGCTGATGCAGGTGTTGCACGCAGACTTGTGCGAGATCACCACCCCTTTGGGCTCCCCGGTGGTGCCAGAAGTGAAGATGATGTAAGCTGCGTCACAGCCACGGGGTTGGGCCTGGATATGCTTGCATTCAGCTGTCCGAGCTCTTTCCAACCAGACTTCGCCGATCTCCAAGCACTGGCACTTGGTGTCCTTGGACTTAGAACTCTAACTTAGAACCCCTTGCAAAAACGTCCATGGTGCTGATGGACAAAATAACATGGACACCCGAAGAGTTGGGGTGAAAAGGACTGTTAGTTCTGTGTCCGAGCAACTGTCTCCTGGCGCACGTCGCAGCCTTCCTTGATCAAGGCCAAGCTGCAGTCTGCGCTGGACAGCACCTTCTTCCAGCGGCAGTCGCTCAGCTCGAGTGGGACATAGCACGCGCCACTGCGCAGCACGCCAAGGCAGGCGACCACCTGCTCCCAGCCTTTCTCCAAAGCCACTGCCACACGGACATCGCAGAAATTGGAACGAACTCCCTGATTGTTCCAGATCATGGTCAGCTCGTTGGCCAAGTAGTTGGTGACTCGGTCAAGATCGTCATAGCTAAGTGTGTGTTGCGGGCTGCGCAAGGCCGGCAAGTCCTTCTTTGCCTTAGAGCACAATTTAAGCACGCTCATCTTTCCTCTCCTCGACTCAGCTGCACAAATGCTACCCTTTGGCTCATGTGTAGCCTCTTGACCCCAAGAACTATAGTTGTTTTTTAACGTGAAAGACTGCGGGAACATCAGATCCAACAAGCTGGCCACCAACCCAAATCAGCCCGGCCACGTCCAGATCGGCGAAAGCCAGCTCATGCAACAAGCTGTGGTTGTAAGCCTGCGTGTCCAACCGTCCACCATGCAACACGGAGAGCTTCTCCCCGGCCAAAGCCTCAGGCGAAACTGTCTGGAATCGGTCGCGAGCAAATAGCAGGGCCCCGGAAGTCCGGAAGTACATGTTCCGCTTCGAAAAAATGGACGAAGTGGCCCAAAGCGCGTGGAACAAAAGGCCCGTACATTTCCGATTGGGGGGGTCAACGCCTTCTGTTCCTTACTTTTCATTTTGACTTTTTTTCTCGTCCGCATTACGGATGTTGACAAGGCTCAATTGCAACATATTAAGTGAACTGGCCCGCACGTGATATCCTGAACTGGTTCTCACGTGGATTCAGGTCTAGACAAGATTTTGACGCAAGATTCAGCATCCAAAAAAAATTGGGAGGCTATGCTTTGGGCTATCTCTCTGACATTTCTTAGCTTCAACAAACACAATGATTCAGCACCAAACACAGAAGCGTACGTTGTCTTTGTCCAGCAGTGAATTGCACGCCCACTTTGAGCTAGGCTTATCTAGCCCTCGGTTCACTCAAAACACAATTGAAGGGGAACTGGATTGTGTGATTTCTTAAACACAAAGCGCCTCTTCAAACGACTTCGCCAGCTGCTTCACCACGTCCTCAGAAAGCCAGCGCTCATCGTAGTCGAAATTCACACACAGCTCGTTCTGCACTTCAAAGAACTGCACGTCAAGGCGCACTGCGGGGGTCTGGGTCCGCTGGTAGACTACGGTAGCCCGCTCTTCGCCGAAAGAAATCGGCTGAGCGTGCTCCAAATCCAACAAGGAGGTCAGCACCACAGGGAGCACCACCTCCTCTCTGCGGATCTCCCGCCAAAGCCGCATGATCTGCATGCCTGTGATGTGGCCCGGCGCCAGCTGGGTCAAGAGCTGCTGCTGGATGTTTTTGGCGCGGACCCCACGCTCCTGCTGGAGGCTCTCAGCGTTGCAGGAGAGGAGCGCCACGTTGGTGAACTCGCCAAGGCAGCCTTTGAGGTGGTTTGGTCGACGACTCACGGTGGCGGTCAGTGTGAAGCTGGCATCACTGCTGAAGGCAATGGCATCCTGGAAGTACGTGATGAGCAGTTGAGTGCAGGACACACCGAGTTCCTTGGCGTGTTGCTTCAAGTCCTCCCATTGCTCCCGTAACACGCACAAGGGCACGCGGCCGAACGCATAGGCCTGGCCTTGACCCATACGACTGCACCATGGAAGCGCAGGCCCCAGAGGAAGATCCTTCAACTTCTCCTTCCACTCGACTTCCCCAAGACCCCCGCGCTGTTGCGTGGCGCAATAGCGGAAGAACTCGTGGCTCGGGTCGGGGCTCGGTGGAAGGCTTGTTGTCGGTCTGTACCCCGTGGCGACTTTGCAGCAAACGATCAACCAGCTCTCGGCGTCAAGGAAGGTCATGTCCACCTTGAGATGCAATTGGACCTGACCAGAACACCTGGAGGCGCCTAAGGCCCAGAATCGACCTTCTGGCAAGGGTCGACTCCAACGAGCCCTGGCCAAAGAACTGTCCTCCTCCACCTCCAGCTGCCAATGCAAGTCTTCGCGGATCTCCTGCCACAACCAACTAAAATATGATGACTTCAGCCCAGGACGAGTATTGCGCCATGTCTGGCCAGTTGACAGAGTTGTTGGTTTGGGGCGGTTTGGGCTTGAGGTTAAGGCGGCTTTAAACAAAAGCCGGCAAAAGCCGCGAAAGCAACCAAAAACCGCAACCCGGGGCAAAACGAGCCCGAAAGCCACAAAAGCCACAAAAGCCACAAAAGCCACAAAAGCCACAAAAGCCACAAAAGCCACAAAAGCCACAAAAGCCACAAAAGCCACAAAAGCCACAAGCCGCACCAAAAGCTGCGAACGCCACCGAAAGCTGCAAAACCCGACAAAGCCACCAGCCACAGAAGCCAAAAATATTCCAAACCAAAGTGCAGAAAACAAATGCCTGCAAAAATAGCCCCTGCAAGAAGCGTGCGCGTCCTGCATCTGGCCTGATGCTTGGCAAGTCGCCCGCAACATTGGCTCAGCTTGTGCCACACGCTGGACCGCCGCTTGCAGGGCTTGCAGGTCGATGTCCTTAAACAGGACCTGGGGGGTGGTGTTCCCTGTTTTGGAGGGACCCCCCTTTGTCAGGGTGGTTTCAAAAGAGGAACCTTCTGTCGTCGCCCCAACCACAAAGACCGTGGAGGATGGAATTTTAGGCAACCGCGGCCCAAACGAAAAACTTGGGCAACTGCGGTGCTTTAACACGATTCAAGGGAAGCCGCAATTGAGGCCAAGCCCTCGCTTTTGAGACGCAACCTCGGTGTAGATCTGGCAAGGGCCCAAGGCAGGAGTCCGCCGGCCCAGAACATAGGACTCTTGCATCTCCAGAAAGGGAACCGCCACGCATGGCCCGACGTCGGCATCCCCCTCCGCGCGCGCCGGAATCTCCATCTCCTTCAGCTCTTTCAGGGTGTAGAGCATAAGGTCCAAGGGGGCCGGAACCTGCCTCCCGGCCTTTGTCAAGCACTCATACAATCCCACCAACTGCTTGGAGGTCACACCGCACTGATCCAGTGCTGTCTCTGGCGCCATGTCATGAAGCCCCTGAAGGCCAAGAAAGCATAGTGCACAGTTCCCTGGGCACGCACTGCATGCCCTGGAAAATTCCATCGTTGAATCAATTTTTGTTGTCTGCGAGCTTGAAATTTGAACCAAAGGCTGTACAGGCCTGGATGCCTGGCAAACCCTACAGGATCCTGCAACTAGTTGTCAAAACGCAATGGGTTCCTGCAACCAGGGTGTACATCCAGCGTCAAAAGCACACACAGCAGCAAACAGCGGCCGCCTCCTTCTTCTGCGTTTTCGCCGCACGCTTGCGGCCAATGATGGGCAGGAAAAGCAGCTAAAAGGCTCTTGCAATCATGGCTAAGTCGGACTCTGCAGATACAAGTATATCAGTCTTCAAAAGGCTGGGGGACCCCTGAAATTCCGGGTGTGTCTGTTGTTTCTTTTTAGAACCACTCTGCGGGTTCCCCCCGACCAAAACACATGCCCACATGCACGAGCTTCAGCAAGGCAGTTCTCAGAGGTTGGAGACAGCTCAGCAGTCCTCTAAGCAACCTCCACGGGAAAAGCGATTGATTCAGTGCGGAAAGGGCAGCCAGAGGAAGCTTGGTGGCCTTGCGCCTTTAACTTGCACTGCTTCCTGATGGTGATGAGTCCTTTTCATGAGTCGCTGCTTCCCGACTTTGTCTTATCCCAAAAACACTTGCCCGCTGGGCCTCAAGAGTGAGCTTGTCAGCCTCCAACTCACTCGGCCTCAGGCAAGGCCAGGGCGTCTCAATTGCCATGACATGGCAACCCCGGGTTGCTGAACTAAATCTGTGGCTGCGTTGGACGAAATGCTTCACATGGACGAATCAACCCGGGTCGAGCAAACAACTGTGACTTGCACAAGGACAGCCAGGAGAAATCCCAACGCGGCAATTTGCAATGAGAAACTCGAACGTCTCTGGCCAAGCGCAAACCAAACAGTGTTCCCTTGCCCGAGCCTCCATTGCATCCAACTCCAAATCAATCCACAACATTGCTGATCCAGCAAGAGCGGCCCCGCTAAGCCTGAAGTTGGGGATCGTGCCTCGCGGCTAATATGTGTAAACATGGATTGCCCCACACAGGCGTGAGTGTGCCGGTGTGCGTGCGCACGTGCATAAGGGTGGTTGCGCGTGTTCGCGTGAGCTTGCAGGTTGCAAATCCGCGGCAGCTGTCGGTACTCAAGCGGCGCTGTGAACCACAATGCCAGGAACATGCGGCAATCCAGGCATTTATTCTGACCGCAGTGCATCGCATATGGGATTTGCACTGAAACTGCCTCCTTGCTGCTGTGCCTGATGCTGACTCTTTTGCTCCCCTCAAACCAGTTCTGCCTCAAAGCGGTTGTTCTGGTGAAGCTATAAACGACCACCTGTTCCCAGGTGTTGACAGTCCGTGACAAGCAAACTGTTCCAGTCAGTTGAACACAGTTGGGCACCACACACACACGCACACAAACACAAACACACACACAGACACACAGACACAGACACAGACACAGACACAGACACAGACACAGACACAGACACACACACACACACCACACACACACACACACGCCCACACACACACACACCACACCACACCACACCACAACACAACACAACACAACACAACACAGAACAGACAGACAAACAGACAGACAAACAGACACGCACACACACACCAACACCACACACACCACACACACACAGACACAAACACAAACACAAACACAAACACAAACACACACACACACACACAAACAAACAAACAAAACAAACAAACAAACAAAGGCATTGCGCACGCTACTTGCCCCAACAGCTACCAAATCAACATGCCGTTGCGACGTCAAGCTGCCACCTGCCAGATCAAAGCGTAACCTCGCGAAAGTCCAACAAGTCACCTGCCAAACAAAAGCGCTCTCCATATTGCAGCCCAACTCCTGCAGAATGAAACTGCTACTTGCCCAAACAGCTACCAAATCAAATGCCGCTTGCAGAAACACAACGCCAACTGCAGAAACATAAGACACCTGCCAAATCAAAGCGCCACCTCCAAATAAAATTGGAGCTACATAATGCATCGCTACTTGCCCAAACAGCTGCTAAATCAATTGCTGCTTGCAAACTAAAATGCCAACTGCCCACAAACACGCCCAGCCACATCAACTCCTTCATGATGCAACCGCTACTGGCCCAAACAGCTACCAAATTAAAATTCCGCTCGTGCAACATCAAACTGTCAACTGCAAAGCAGAAGCCACTTGCCAAATCAACGCGCAACCTCGCAAAGTCCAACTCCTACATGATGTAACCGCTAATTGCCCAAACTGCTGCCAAATCAAAATGCCGCTAGTACAACATCAAGCTGCCAATAGCAAAAGCAAAAGCCACCTGCCACATTAAAGCGCCATCCCTGCAATGTAACCGCTACCGGCCCAAATGATGGCTACCAAATCAAAGTGCTGTTTGCAAACCAAAATATTCAGCTGCCCAAGACGACCTCCAGCCAAATCAACTCCTACATGAACCGCTGCTTGCCCAAACAGCTGCCAAATCCAAATGCCGCTTATACAACATCAAGCTGCTAGCTGCAAAAGCAGAAGCCACCTTGCCAAATCAAAGCGCAAAGCGCAACCTTTCAAGCGAAATTCCAACTCTTGCATGATGTAACCGCTACTTCACAAACTGCTACTAAATCAAAATGCCGCTTATACAACATCAAACCAGAAGCCACCTGCCAGATCAAAGTGCAACCTCGCGAAAGAACCGCTACTTGCCCAAACGGCTACCAATTCAAAATGCCGCTTGTACCTGCTCAAACATCGTCCAAATCCAGATGCCGCTTAAACAACATCAAGCTGCCAACTGCAAAAGCAGAAGCCACCTTGCCAAATCAAAGCGCAAAGCGCAACCTTTCAAGCGAAATTCCAACTCTTGCATGATGTAACCGCTACTTCACAAACTGCTACTAAATCAAAATGCCGCTTATACAACATCAAACCAGAAGCCACCTGCCAGATCAAAGTGCAACCTCGCGAAAGAACCGCTACTTGCCCAAACGGCTACCAAATCAAAATGCCGCTTGCAAAATCAAAACGCCAACTGCGAAAACATAAGACACCTGGCAAATCAAAGCGCCACCTCCATTTTGAAATTCGAGCTACGGAATGCAACCGCTACTTACACAAACATCCGCTGAATCACATGCTGCTTGCAAGCTACAATGCCAACTGCCCAAACAGACCACAAGCCAAATCGACTCCTACATGATGTGACGCTGCTTGCCCAAACAGCTACCAAGTCAAAACGCCGCTTGTACAACATCAAACTGTCAACTGGAAAGCAGAAGCCACCTTGCCAGATCAAAGCACAACCTCGAAGCGAAAGTCCAACTCGAACATGATGTAACTGCTGCTTGCCCAAACAGTTACCAATTCAAAATGCCGCGTGCAAAATCAAAACGCAAGACGCAGAAGCAGCCACCTACCAAATCGAAGCGCCGCTTCCAAGTACACTTGCCCAAGCGGCTACCAAATCAAAGTGCCGCTTCAAAAAGAAAGAAATTACCTTCGCGACAACAGAAGCCACCTGCCCAATGAAGTCCAACTCCTGTATAATGACAAGGTAACCGCTGCTTGCCCAAACAACTACCAATTCAAAATGCCGCTTGTACCTGCTCAAACATCGTCCAAATCCAGATGCCGCTTAAACAACATCAAGCTGCCAACTGCAAAAGCAGAAGCCACCTTGCCAAATCAAAGCGCAAAGCGCAACCTTTCAAGCGAAATTCCAACTCTTGCATGATGTAACCGCTACTTCACAAACTGCTACTAAATCAAAATGCCGCTTATACAACATCAAACCAGAAGCCACCTGCCAAATCAAAGTGCAACCTCGCGTAAGAACCGCTACTTGCCCAAACGGCTACCAAATCAAAATGCCGCTTGCAAAAACAAAACGCCAACTGCGAAAACATAAGACACCTGGCAAATCAAAGTGCCACCTCCATTTTAAATTCGAGCTACGGAATGAAACCGCTACTTACACAAACAGCTGCTGAAACACTGCTTGCAAGCTACAATGCCAACTGCCCAAACAGACCACCAGCCAAATCGACTCCTACATGATGTGACGCTGCTTGCGCAAAAAGCTACCAAGTCAAAACGCCGCTTATACAACATCAAACTGTCAACTGGAAAGCAGAAGCCACCTTGCCAGATCAAAGCACAACCTCGAAGCGAAAGTCCAACTCGAACATGATGTAACTGCTGCTTGCCCAAACAACTACCAATTCAAAATGCCGCTTGTACCTGCTCAAACATCGTCCAAATCCAGATGCCGCTTAAGCAACATCAAGCTGCCAACTGCAAAAGCAGAAGCCACCTTGCCAAATCAAAGCGCAAAGCGCAACCCCTTTCAAGCGAAATTCCAACTCTTGCATGATGTAACCGCTACTTCACAAACTGCTACTAAATCAAATGCCGCTTATACAACATCAAACCAGAAGCCACCTGCCAAATCAAAGCGCAACCTCGCGAAAGAACCGCTACTTGCCCAAACGGCTACCAAATCAAAATGCCGCTTGCAAAAACAAAACGCCAACTGCGAAAACATAAGACACCTGGCAAATCAAAGCGCCACCTCCAGTTTAAATTCGAGCTACGGAATGCAACCGCTACTTACACAAACATCTGCTGAAACACATGATGCTTGCAAGCTACAATGCCAACTGCCCAAACAGACCACAAGCCAAATCGACTCCTACATGATGTGACGCTGCTTGCCCAAACAGCTACCAAGTCAAAACGCCGCTTGTACAACATCAAACTGTCAACTGGAAAGCAGAAGCCACCTTGCCAGATCAAAGCACAACCTCGAAGCGAAAGTCCAACTCGAACATGATGTAACTGCTGCTTGCCCAAACAGTTACCAAAACAAAACGCCGCGTGCAAAATCAAAACGCAAGACGCAGAAGCAGCCACCTACCAAATCGAAGCGCCGCTTCCAAGTACACTTGCCCAAGCGGCTACCAAATCAAAGTGCCGCTTCAAAAAGAAAGAAATTACCTTCGCGACAA